GACTCCACGACGGGGGCACGTCTGCGTGGCCTCACAAAGCCACCCCCACCCACCACCACTACCCCGTGTTAACCGGTCCTAAGTTCCATCTCGTGTTGTAGTTGGCAGTGTGCAGCAGCAGCAAGGAGTAGCAATCATCATTTGAAGAATTTCCATCACCCCCCCCCCCTTTGCCCTCCCCCCTGCTACCCACTTCTGCCTGCACTGCATCCGTTGGTCCCCTTCCTTGGCCGGGATCTGCCCAGGATCAACAATTTTTAGGCACCTCCGCCAGCAATTTTTTTTGTCTGTGTGCGTGTGTGTCTCTAATATAGATCCTTACACGCGGCTTTTCCCGGTAATAGGACAGCTATAATCTCGGCCACTGTTTGGGCGACTCGTCGCCGGAAGCGGAGCTCGCGTGGGCAAATGTACAGCATGTTTAAAAGTTGACGTCTCGAGGGGACGGCGTTAATGTGGTCTAGACCCTAGGCTTTCGGCATGGCAGCCATGCTGACATGGAAGCTGACACCACCTCTCCTTACTCTGGAGTAGTGGCCACATTGACCGCGTGTTGGACTCTTAAAGCCCATCGAAATGTGTTGAGATGTGGCAGTTTAAAATTGCCTTGTGGCCACCGTTTTCTCGGGCAATTTGAAAACAATAACACCGTACGATGTGCTTTTGAGGCACGCAGCGCGTTGGGAACATGCTGTACTTTTGTGTGGTAGGGGGAAGGTCGTCTGCTGACATGCGTCGTGGTCCAAGGTTAGACCCACGAATGTGGCCGCGTGAGCAAACCCAACAACAATATCTCGGGCACACGTAGGTGCCATGGCAGCCTCCGGCTGACTAACCCCACAGCGTTGAGTGCACACACAGAGGTGAAAATCCCATCGTTTCCTTTTACTCGTTAAGCAGCTGGTGTTGTAAACTAATACCTGTGCAAGTAAACTGTGGTTAAAAAAAGTTTTGGAATTTCACCCTGTTTGTGCCAGTGTCGGATTTAACGCGAGACAAATGGGGCTGTTGTGTATCAATGTTAGCGCAGACATCTTAAAAGCGAGCTTCTCTTCACGGCTGATGGCAGCAGCTTTGCAAGTCGCACTCCCCCTCATTTCTCAACATCTTGTGGCCACCACCAACTGCCGCCCCTCCCCATACCAACATCCTCTTCCCCTGAAACATCGCGCAGACAACAAAAGGACCCCACCTCCGGCAATGCCCGAAGACAAATCAAGACGTTAACCGTGGACACGGCTGAGAAGAGTGGCCCAAAGAAATCCTTGTTTTTCACGGTCGTGACCACTCCCCAAGCTTGGGGCCCATCATCTTTGTAGTTGGGAAATCTTTGTCAAGTTTCTTCATGTTGGTGCAGTGATGCCGATTTAGACCTGGTGGGGGGGGAATACGCAAGGTTTGATCCGCGTGGACCAGTTACAGTTTCGCTTTCTTGCGTCGACCAGCCCACGCTTGCGGTGGTGACGGTGGTGGTCTGGTTTACGAGAGAATAAAAAGCCGGCTGCTCGACGCGGGGAATCTGGGGCTGTTTCTGAGCCACGCTGCGCCGTGGCGTGGTCTCTCTCGTGTTGGGCAATGTTGCCTGTGAGCAAACATTGCTTTTGTTTTGCCTGAAACCAAATTTCACGCGTTTGCAAAAAAATGCTCCGGATTTTAAGCATTGGTGGCTTTACAGTTATCGCAACCGTTGGAAACAAAGCAATAACCATAAACTTAAAAAAAAACATTTGCCATTTAAATGTTGGTCTCGAGTTGCCCATAATTCCGTGTTCAACTTAATTCCAGCCGCGGGTTCTCCTGTCTGAAACGCAATTTTTAGAAAACCGCCGTTTGCAGATTGTTAAAGGAGGCCTTTTGGAGAGAACCGGGTTTGTGATGTTTGACACTCATGGTATGCGAGGTTGCGATCTTGCTATTTTCACAGGTGGCTGTGAACCCTGGCGTGTGGGGACGATCTTTTCCCCAACAGCAATGGAGTGTTTGGTTGTGTTTTTGGTTAAATTGTTTAATGGTTTGTTTGCGAAGCGGTAGATGTTTTTTTTTTAAATGCTAACATTTTTATAAATTGTAAACTGCTATGCCAATGCACGTTTTTTTTACCGGTTTAATGATTTAAGAGCAACTCCCAAGTGGTTATTATCATTCACCTCTCCCCAGTTGGTAACATGCAGCAACCAACAGCATTGCAGTGACCACTGCCACTGCATTGATGTATTGAATATAAGAGCCTCATCGTTGGGATCTGTCTCTGTAAGTAGTGACAGTGCGCCCCCCTGCTCACTTAGGCGGTCGAGTAAATGGCACAGGAGAACTATTGAAACCACTCGGAGGGGTTTTTTTTCCCCGATTGCTTTAGTCAAAGCACTAGCTAGTTGGGTGCTTGTACTACGTTGAACATCTTTCGCACCGTTCGTAGCCAACTGCGGGGGGCGGGGGCCCAAGGGCGACAAACTTAAAACGCAAAAAGCAGTTGTAATTTGTGTGCACACACACGGCGAACATCTCTGCGCTCCCCGCTGGTGTCGCGTCCTCAACCGTGCGAGTTTCTCTTGTCTGCAGGCACCAGCAGGGGAGCGCCTTCCCGTGCTCTACCTCATGGACTCCATCATCAAGAACGTGGCCCAGGATTACCTTGCGTTCTTTTCGCACAACATTGTGACGACGTTTGCTTGCACTTTTGAAAAGGTATAAATGAAGGGCACCGTTCGCCCGTGAACTGTTACGCGATAAGAATTCCGTAAAATTCAGTTAAAGGTTTTTTTTGGGGGGGGGGGCGGGTAGCTGGGGGGGGTGAGTGGGTTTATTGCGGAACAGGGAAAGGAAGGTATTTTGAGCCATCCAGCTCGGTAAGAGATTGATTTATCCGAGATCTTTTTCCATTCTAGCGCAAAAAAAAACCCGTCATCCTTATTGGACTTAATTTCTCCCCCCCCCTCAGTCGAATTGGGCAACCAAGACGGAATCTGGAGTCCCCCGAGTTGAATATTGTCAGAATGTGATGTATATATTTTTTTTAAACGACGCCCCAAGTTAATCTTTCAAAAAATAAAACCGCCTTGGTCATTGGCCGTTCGTTACAACTTTCGGGGGACGTCATTTGGGCTCCGGTTTTCTCGCCGGCTCTTGTGTGCTCGCGTGCATTGCTCTGTAAAGCTTGTCGACTTGTGTGCTCGCGTGCATTGCTCTGTAAAGCTTGTCGAGTCTTGCACGGGTTCAAAGTTGCTCCCCCTTTCGTAAAAAAAAAAACAATACTGCTCTTTTTTTTACGTGCGTGAAGCGGTTGTGAATCTCTCAACACCGCGATCGCCAACGCGTTCAGTGATGTACAAATCGTCGCCTGTTAATCTCAATGTCTCGACCGACATTTTTCCGCGGCCGTGCCGTGCACGGCTCTCCGGCCCGGTTTTTCAGCTTGTGCCCGCGGCTTTGTTCGGCGCGACATCCCGGCGTTCGCGCCAAGCGCCTCGGTCGGGGGAGGAGGGGCCCAGGAGCCGAGGCGGAAGATGCTCCCGGCGAGAGTAGCGCTTCGCGCAGAACGACGCTGCTGCACGACCCGGACAAAACCACGCCCGGAGAGCTGTCGCCACCGTCGCCTTTATTTTTTCCGCGTCGAGCCGCGTGACGGTGTGGCGGCCGGGCGATGTCGGCGGCGGCGCCCCCCTCCCCGGCGTCGCCCTCGCCTCCTGCGACGGTCGGTTCGAGTTTCGGGGTTTGAGCATTTCATATCCCCCCCCCTGTCGCGCAGGTGGATGAGAACACGCGCAAGAACATGTTCAAACTTCGCTCCACGTGGGACCAAATCTTCCCGCCGAAGAAGCTCCACAGCTTAGACGTGCAGGTCAACAAGATAGACCCGGCGTGGCCCATACGGCCTCCGCCCGCCTCCGCTAACACCGGCAGCATTCACGTCAACCCCAAGTTCGTAACCAAGCTGGTGAGTGAGTAGAGCCGCCGCCGCTGGCTGGCTGACCTGCGCGCGTGTGTTTGGGTCGCGCCGCCTGTTTTGGCGCGTCTTGAGATCTCTCGCGCCGCTTGCTTGGAGCCAAAGTTTTAGCACTAGGCACGTGGAGCGGAACGTCGGGCAATGCCGAAACACCCCCGCGGTATGACCCAAAAAACGCATCGGAGAAGCCCCGGCGTAAGTTGGGCGTTGGAAGCGTTGGTAAACCACTTGTGCATTCATACTTCCACTGGCATTTAAAATATATGTTTTTGACGGTCGCTATTAAAAAAGGTTCGATGTGTGTTGGGTTACCCAACACCCGGAATTCGGCAATCCGAATTCCCCGATGGAACGGTCGCCGGTGACAGTGGGGGGTTGTTTGACCGCGATTGTCGCCCCCCCCTGCAGCCCGAGGAGCCGAACCCCCCGGAGGCGGCCGAGGTGATGAGGCAGCAGCTGCTGGCCAAGCAGAAGCAGCTGCTGGAGCTGCAGCAGAAAAAGCTGGAGCTGGAGCTCGAGCAGACGAAGGCCAAGCTGGTGAGTGAGCGGCGCCCGCCCACGGGGCTCGTATATTTTTTGTTTGTTAAGAAACGGCGTTCTCTCCTCCGCTTGTCAAATCCGCCGCTGGTCCGGTCGCACGGGGACACGGGAGCGCCCAGCTCCGCCCACTCGCGTCGCCAGCGAGAGGGGCAGAGCCTCGCAGTGCCGGGCGTCGTCGGGTCCGGAATATTCCCCTCCCGAGGGATCCTCGCGTTGACGGACAAAACTTCACGTGCTGATGCTTCCCCTCGACAGATGTCACACGAACCCCCCCTCCCCCACCCAGCGACGTGACGCATGCCGCGTGGGTGTAAACGACCGCTCCGCTCTCTTCACCTCCCTCCCACCCCGCAGGAGGCATCTTTGTCTGGGAACATCCCCGGAGCACCCAGGCCCCTGGTTGGCCACCGTCCCCCCTCCGTGCCCGTCCAGGAGATCAAGCCGCAGCCGGCGGCGCCGCTCTCTCACTCGCAGCTTCCCACGAGCGCCGGGGGACTCCCGGCGGCACGGCACGGCACGGCCACCGTGATGGTTCACCCGGGGCGCGACCCGCGCACCAACCGTGACCCTCGCATGAACCGAGACCCTCGGTTGCAGATGACGCAGCAGCATCACGAGCAGCAGCAGCAGCTGGCGTTGATGGAGGATCACGTCAGGTTTGTAGTCTCGAGCTTTTCGAGGAGTTGACGGCCTCATTGGGTTTAGAGTCTGGGTTCAACGCTGCCTGTGCCGTGGTGATGCATTTACGTTCGCGTGCCGTGTGTTTTGTCGTCGATCCTCTACCCCAGTGATGCGAAGGAGACATCGCCGGTGCCCGCGGCGCCGTCGCGCTCCTCGCCCTGCCGGGCGACGCCGAGCCCCCGCCCCCCGGGCCGAGGGCGGCAGCCCCCCCGAGGCGGCGCCGGCGCGACCGGCCGCCGGAGCGCGGTCGCCCCCCGCGTCCAAGCCGGCCGACAAACGGCACGAGGCGCCGGCGAAGGCGCCGGGCAAGCGGAGCGACGGAAAGGATCCGCCGTTTGGCGGCGAGCGGAAGAAGGAGCCCTCGTCGGGCGGAGACCGGAAGAAGGGGGGCGACGCTCCCGACCCCAAGAAGATGGCCGACGCGTCGGGCAAGGACGGGCGCAAGGCCCCGCGCGATTCGGCGCGAGCGTCCGCCAAGCCGCGCGACCGCTCCCCGCCCCGGCGGTCGTCTCCGTCGTCGCGCAGGAGGGGTCGGCGCTCGCCGCCCGCCTGGCCGCCGGGGAGCGGCCGCAGGAAGACGAACTCCCCCCTTCCCGCGTCGCACGGCGCGCGCCACAAAAGCCCCACGCCTCCCCAGGCCGGGCCGGCGGTCGCGACGGGTGCGGCGGCGGCGGCGGCGGCGGCGGCGGCGGCGGCCGCGACGTCGGTCGCGGCGGCGGTCCTGCCGCGGGCGACGGACAAGCGGCGCGCCAGCCAGTCCCCCGCCAAGGCGGGCGACTGGCCGACCAAGCGGAGGAATTTGGACTCTCCGCTCAGGGCCACGGGGAGCGACGCCGGCGCCGGGGGGAGCGGGCGGCGCAAGGGAGGCAGCCCCGGAGCGCCGTCGCGTAGCCGTGCGAGGGAGCGAGGGGAGCGCGGCGAGAGGGAGCGCGGCGAGGGGGTCCGTGGGAGCCGCTCGCCGATGACGGAGGGGCGGTTGCCGACGAAGAGGCGGAGGAGTCAGTCCCCCAGGTCTCCGCGAGGCCCGGCGGCCGCCGCCACCGCCGGCGGCGCCGGCGGCTTGAAGAAGACGACGCCCGAGAGGGTGCCGCTGCAGGCCAACCTGCCGGTGCGGGGACCGCACGGCAAGGCCGGGTGGGCGCCGGCTGCGAGGTACGGCACGGTCGCCCTTGATGCACGTCGCTGTGAAGATTCCGCGACGCCACCCATCCCACCGTGTGTTCTCGCGTGCAACGCTCGCGTCGGGCACCTCGCAAACGCGTCTGCGAAACGCGCAATAATCTCACTTTATATTAATCTAGAGGCGCCTTGCTTCAAGGCGCTTTGCGTAGTTTTGAAAGCGGTCGAGTGTTTCCGATGGCAGGGGGGGTGGTGCTGGGGCTGGGGAATTAGTGAATGGCACGAGAGGGGCACTTTAGCCGCGGGGAGGGGCGGTCACGAAAGGGTTACGTGGAGGGAAGGAGTGGAGGGGGAAAGGGCAGAGGGGGGGGTAGGATTGGCCATTAATAAACATCTGGTTGCGGACTCGAGTCTTTCAATGTGACATTCTGTTGTGCCCGTCCATCTGAATGCCGCGTGTGTGTGTTGTTTGTGTGCACCTAGGGGGGCCGGCTGTGCCCCCCACCCACGGCACGGCCCCGAATGGCGGCGCAACAACAAACGCGGTAGCGGTGGCGGTGGCATTGTCGCCAGCGGTGGGGGGGCCCGGGACAAGCCCCCCGAGGTGGAGAAGGAGCCGGAGTACCTGGGCTCGCCCCAGTTCTCGCCCGAGCCCCCCCCCTCCGAACCCGACACCCCCAACGTCGGCGAGGCCCCCCACCTCCACAAGCGCTTCCGCCGCTCTGCCTGGGAGCAGTTCAAGGGGTGCGCTTTTGACTCCTTGCGTTGTTTTCATCGTCGTTGACGAGTCGTCAATTTTTATTGTCGTGATCATGCTTGTCATCAGCGACAGCAGTATAAGTAGCCTACGTGGAAGAGGTGTGTGTGTGTGTGCTTGTGCGTTTGTCTTTTTGTGTGTGGGTTTATGAACGTGCGTGTGGTGTAGGCTTGTGGGGGGGCGGTAGTGCAGCGGTTAGCGCTACGAAACCCGGCGAACCCAAGTTCGATTCCCGCTCACGACCAACAACGGTGACCATTATCTGAACCGGTCAAGGGCCTCCCCTAGGTCGACTCGACCTCAAATGATTACGTAGAGCGGCATGCGTTAAACGCCGCCGCTCGAGACAAACGCGTTCCGAGGCGTGGTGCTGCCCACCCACCCCCTCGCGTGCCGCATCGGCCTTCGTAGGTGCCGCTCGCTTGACGGGCACTTGCCCCGACAGTCTGTTAAGTTTACACGGGCGGGGGGGGGACCCTTTGTCCGTGTAGGATCCGCACCGGCCAGGAGAACCAACCGCAGCAGCAGCAGCAGCAGCGGAGGGACTCGTGGGGCGCGGGGGTCAGCGTCCATCGCCGCTTCCCGTTCCCCCGCACTCCCACGCAGCACCACCCTCGGCCCAGCACCGACCCCGAGCTGCACATCCCCAAGGAGATCACTCAGGCCAACAAGCACGAGCTGCTGCGCAAGGTGAGGCGGGGGGGGGGGGGTGCCGGGGGGCGTAGGGGACGAGCGAGTTGGGGGTGGGAGGGGAGGGGGGGGGGGCCCCACTGTGGCCTTCTGTTGCCGCTTCCCAACAGGGGAGGTTGACCCAGCGTCGCTGCGCTCGCTCCGTCCGTCTTCGGCCGGTGGCTCCCGTGAAGTACGCACGTTCAACTTCTTTCGCGCCGTACGTCGCCAGCCGTGCGAATCGGAGGTGCGGGGGAAGCACGGATTGTTGGCCGTGATCCGTCCGCCGTTGGGTGAAGACTTTGTTGGTTTTGCCCAGGCCGATATACAGCGCGAGTCCGGCCTCATCACCAACGAGCAGCACATGCAGATGGTGCACCAGCTGAACCAGCTGTTCAAGCTGCGGCCTCGCGACTCCTCTGGCCCGCGGCCCCTCCTGTCCGAGGCCGACATGGCCTACTACCAGCACAAGGCGAGCCTGAAACAGCAGGGCAAGCGGCCGCCCGGCGTGCACCCGATGGCGCCGGTGAGTGGGGGTTTGGTCGTGGTGGTCTATGTTGTGTGTCTCTGTGTTTCTCTGTGTCTTTATCTGCTTTTGTGTATGTCTATGTGTCTCCGTGTCTGTGTTTTATCTCTCTCTCAAACGTGGCAATCTTTGGAAGAACGTAATCAACCAGGTAGGGTGTTGACTGTTGTGTTAGCCGACTTTGTGTTGCATTGCATTATATTTCTAAGTTTGTTTTCTCATTCATTCTTACCTAATGATGGTTGCTTGTGTTGCAAGCGAAACGTCGTATTCTATTATTTAATGTATTTTCTTTCTACGTGACTTTACCGAAGGAACCAAAGAGTAGGTGGTGGTGGTGGTGTTTGTGTGTGTAGCTGGTTGTATGTGTGTGTATGGTGGTGTTGGTGTGTGTGTGTGTAGCTGGTTGTATGTGTGTGTATGGTGGTGTTGGTGTGTGTGTAGCTGGTTGTATGTGTGTGTATGGTGGTGTTGGTGTGTGTGTAGCTGGTTGTATGTGTGTGTATGGTGGTGTTGGTGTGTGTGTGTGTGTAGCTGGTTGTATGTGTGTGTATGGTGGTGTTGGTGTGTGTGTGTGTGTAGCTGGTTGTATGTGTGTGTATGGTGGTGTTGGTGTGTGTGTGTGTGTGTAGCTGGTTGTATGTGTGTGTATGTTGGTGTGTGTGTGTGTGTAGCTGGTTGTATGTGTGTGTATGGTGGTGTTGGTGTGTGTGTGTGTAGCTGGTTGTATGTGTGTGTATGGTGGTGTTGGTGTGTGTGTAGCTGGTTGTATGTGTGTGTATGGTGGTGTTGGTGTGTGTGTAGCTGGTTGTATGTGTGTGTATGGTGGTGTTGGTGTGTGTGTGTGTGTGTAGCTGGTTGTATGTGTGTGTATGTTGGTGTGTGTGTGTGTGTAGCTGGTTGTATGTGTGTGTATGGTGGTGTTGGTGTGTGTGTGTGTAGCTGGTTGTATGTGTGTGTATGGTGGTGTTGGTGTGTGTGAGTGCGCGAGTACGGAGGTGGTTGGCGATGACGCGGCGCTGTGTGTACGTTCTGCCGTGTAGTGACGTATTTTCTGACGAGACGTTTTACGGGCTCGGGAGTCGACCGCCCCCGTCGCATTTTTTTTTAATTTGCTCCGTCGCTTTCCCGTACCGCCGCAGCACGGGGAGCAGCCGCCCTGCGACGGCCCGCGGGCGTTGCCGACCCCTCCGCCGCCGCTCCGCTCCCTCGCCGACGGGCCTTGGCACGGCCCGCACGCGGCCGAGCCCGGCACCTTCGACAAGCGGCCCGGCAAGCAGCCGGTGCCGCCGCCCGCCAGCGCCGGCGGCGTCTCCCGCAAGCCCCTGCTGATGACCCCGACGCTGGGGCGGAGGCCTCCGCTGCTGGGGCCGTCGCCGACGGGCCTCCGGAGGGGGGGACCCCAGCCGCCTCCGCCGCCCCCCGTCCCCGTCGCCGCGACCGCCGCCGCTCCCGCGCCCGCGGCCGCCGGCGCCTCGACGGCCGCGGCCGCCGGCGGCGGCGGCGCGGACGAAGCCGCGGTGAAGAGGGAGGACGAGGAGCGAGGGCCGGCCGACGAAGGCCGGGCGCGCCGGGAGGTGCGTAACGGCGTCTTACGGTTGTCTGGGTGGCGGAGATGGTGGTGTGGGGGGTGTGTAACGGCGTCTTACGGTTGTCTGGGTGGCGGAGATGGTGGGGGGCCGGGAGGTGTGTAACGGTGTCTTACGGTTGTCTGGGTGGCGGAGATGGTGGGGGGCCGGGAGGTGTGTAACGGCGTCTTACAGTTGTCTTGGTGGCGGAGGTGGTGGGGGGGGGGGGGGGTGCCAGCCGGGGGGATCTTTTTGTCGGTCAGAATTGTGGTTAATTACCGTTACGGTTGCGGCAGCGTCGTCAGCTGAAATTACAATCGCGTTGTGCGTGTGTGTGCGTGTGTGTGTGTGCGTGTGTGTGCGTGTGTGTGGCGCCAGCAGCGAGTGGAGCTGCCCAGGGAGGGCAGCGCCGGTCCCCAGGGTCCCAAGCCTCCGCGTGTGAGGGGGGGGCAGCGTGGCGAGTGGGGTGGGCCCAGGAGAGGGGGAACCCCCCCCGAGCACTGGGTCCCCCCGCGGGAGGTTGGGGAGCGCAGAGGCAAGTTTGAGAAGCTTCCTGGTGAGTGGACACCCAGACACGCACACACCCAGACACGCACACACCCAGACACGCACACACACACACACCCAGACACACACACACCCAGACACGCACACACCCAGACACGCACACACACACACACCCAGACACACACACACCCAGACACGCACACACCCAGACACGCACACGCGCACACAGACACACACACACACACATGTACGCACACACCCAGACACACACACACCCAGACACACACACACACCCAGACACACACACACACCCAGACACGCACACACCCAGACACACACACACCCAGACACACACACACACCCAGACACACACACACACCCAGACACACACACACACCCAGACACGCACACACCCAGACACGCACACACCCAGACACACACACACCCAGACACGCACACACCCAGACACACACACACACCCAGACACGCACACACCCAGACGCGTACACACCCAGACGCATACACCCAGACGCGCGCGCACCCAGACACACACACACCCAGACACACACACACACCCAGACACACACACACACTCAGACACACACACACACCCAGACACACACACACACCCAGACGCGTACACCCAGACGCGCGCACACCCAGACACACACACACCCAGACGCGCGCACACCCAGACGCGTACACACCCAGACACACACTGCCGCACACACCCAGACACACACCGCCGCACACACCCAGACACACACCGCCGCACACACCCAGACACACAACCAGACGCGTACACACCCAGGCACACGTCCAGACACACACCGCCGCACACACCCAGATTGTAAATGTTGTGGCTTTGCTGTCCAGCACACCGGTGTAGTGCTGTACGAGTAACGAATTGGCACGTTGTGTTTCCGTGATAAACCTTACTAATTGGCAGTAATGGGTGGTGGCGGGTTTAACAACACATTTCTATATTTATGCGGTTTAACCCATAACAGCCTTATCTCTGAGTTTTAGCCGCTTGTCGTTGATTCACACACGCACGCTCGCTTTCACACACACTACTTCTCTCGGAGGATTGCTCCACTGGGTAAAATATTTCGGCGGTTCGCAAGTGCGGATGCGCAAAATAGTCGGACGCCCGTAAGTCGCGGGGGACTGCCTGCGATAATGGCCGTGAGCCCCCGGGTCTCCCCGGAGTTGATGGCACGCAGGCAGCGGACACGGTGTTCTGTCCACCGAGGTAACGTGGCGAGGCTCACGGAGTCGCCGGGAATCGCCGGCTCGCTTGAACGTCCTTTGTTCCGCGTCAGGCCCCGGCGCGGAGGACCCGCGGGCGCGGCGCTCGCGCGACCCCTCGCCGGCGATGGACGCCCCCTACGCCTCTCCGCACGGCCGCCCCTTCGACAGCGCCGACGGGTTCGGCCAACGTGGCGGGGCCGGCGGCGGCGGCTTCAACAGCAACAGCAAAGACAACGACCCCCCCGGGTGGTGGCGCGATGAACCGCGCAGCCCTTCGCGCGACGACGAACTCCCTCCACGCCGCTTTGACGGGCCCCCTCACCCGCCCGGCCGACCCGACGGTCCCGGCGACAGATTTTCCGACGGGCCCCTGGAGAGGTTCGCCGACGGGCCCGCCGTCGGCAGGTTCACCGATAGGCCCGGCTCGAGGTTCGACGGACCCCAGGGGCCCGTGTTCGATGGGGGCCAGAGGTTCGACGGGCCCGCCTTGGATGGGCCGAACTTTGACGGGCCGCAAGGGTCCCGGTTTGACGGGCCTAGATTCGATAGGCCGCAGGGGGGACACAGATTCGATGGGCCGCAAGGACCCAGATTTGAAGGCCCACAGGGCCCCAGGTTCGACGGCCCACAGGGTCCCAGGTTCGACGGCCCACAGGGCCCCAGGTTCGACGGCCCACAGGGTCCCAGGTTCGACAACCCACAGGGCCCCAGGTTCGACGGCCCACAGGGCATGCGATTCGATGGGCCCAGATTTGATGGGCCGCAGGGGCCCAGATTCGATGGTATGCAGAGTCAGCACTATGATGGCCCACAGGGCCCCAGGTTCGACGGCCCACAGGGTCCTAGGTTCGACGGCCCACAGGGCCCCAGGTTCGACGGCCCACAGGGCCCACAGGGCCCCAGGTTCGACGGCCCACAGGGCCCACAGGGCCCCAGGTTCGACGGCCCACAGGGCCCCAGGTTCGACGGCCCACAGGGCATGCGTTTCGATGGACCCCAGGGCATGCGATTCGACGGGCCACAGGGCCCCAGGTTCGATGGGCCCCAGGGTGTGCGGTTCGACGGGCCGCAAGTGCCCAGATTTGAAGGCCCGCAGGGCGTCCGATTCGAAGGGCACCGCTTCGACGGGCCTCGCATGCTGCACTTCGAGGGGCCGCAGCAAGGACTGCAGTCTCATCCGGGGCCACGATTCGATGGGCCCGCGGTCCCTCGGTTCGACGGCCCGCGAAACTTTGACGGCCCGGGCGGCGTTGGGGCTCAGTTTGGCGGGCAGCAGCAGCAGCAGCAACAGCAGCAGCAGCAGCAGCGTCAACAACAGCCCGCGTTTGAGGGGCCGCACGGGCAGCGCTTTGACGGCGGGCCGCAGTTCGTGACGCAGCAGCCGGGCCACCAGCCGGGCCCCTTTGGATTCCCGCTGGGTGCCCACCTCCAGGGAATGGCGATGGGGCCCAACGACCACCACGTGGGCAACCTCGGCATGGGCATTCCTCAGCACGGCCAGCAGGTGAGCGAGCGTGGCGTGGCGTGCGAGCGCGTGGCGTGGCGTCCGCGCGCGTGGCGTGGCGTGGCGCGGCGCGGCGTGGCGTGCGAGCGCGTGGCTTGCCAGCGGCGCTCTTCAGAAACATCTCAAGGCAGTGGGGTCTCTTAACCTTGAACCCCCCCCTTTGGTACTCAATCGTTAAAAAAAAGTCATCGTGTTAATAACTACATAGGGTTTGAGGAAACCAGGAAGTCGTTGCTTACGTGCCCGTGCTTAATTTGCGTTTCGGTGATTTACCTTGGATCAAAAGTCTGGCCACGTCTCGCCGCACCCCCAGGCGATGCCGTGATGCACCCAGGTAAGGAAGAACCGCTGACCGAAGGCGCTGCCTCCTCTCTCCCCAGCTCATGGGCATGGCGCACGTCACGGGACCCCGGCCGCACTTTGGCCCTGGGGCCTGCCAGCCGTTCATGCCGGCCTCCCAGGTGCAGGTCGCCATGATGTCCCAGGCCATGCAGCACGGCGGCGCCATCCGCGGGCCCATGCAGCACCAGCAGCTCATGCAGCACCAGCATCGCATGTGTGAGTGGCTGCTTTCCCCCCCACCGCTACCGCTCGCCATTATCACTCACCGCTACTCACCACGACCACTCGCTGCTTCTCGCCACGACCATTCACTGCTTCTCGCCAATGCCACCCACCACTACCACTGACTGATACTCGCCACCGCTCGCCAATACCACTCGCCACCACCACTCACCGCTACTCGCCAACGATCACCAATACCACTCACTACCACCACTCACCAATACCACCACTCACCACCACTCACCGCTACTCACCAACGATCACCAATACCACTCACTACCACCACTCACCAATACCACCACTCACCACCACTCATCGCTACTCACCAACGATCACCAATACCACTCACTACCACCACTCACCGCCACTCGCCGCTACTCGCCACCACTCTCGCCACCACTCACCGCTACTCGCCACCACCACTCACCACTACTCGCCACTACTCGCCAATACCACTCGCGGCCACCACTCACCGCTACTCACCACCACCACTCACCACCACTCACCGCTACTCGCCATCACTCTCGCCACCACCACCACTCGCCGCTACTCGCCACCACTCAGCAATACCACTCGCCACCGCCACTCACCGCTACTCGCCGCCGATCACCACCACCACTCGCCACCACTCACCGGCACCACCACCGAGTGCTGCGGTGACGTCGCCGCCACCTGGTGGCAAACGGCGGCTGACGACGTTGCTTGTGCGCACGTGCGTGTGTTTGCGTGTCTTTGTCTGTGTGCGTGTGGCAGCAATGGGGCTGATGGGATCGGACAACCACATCGGTCAGGTGGACGTGAACTCGCTGTTTTCGAAGCTCGTGGCCTCGGGAATCCTGCAGGTCCAGACGACGACGAACGCCGGCACGGCCGGTGAGTGGAGAAGGCGAACCCCCACACCCCTCATCGTTTGTACGCCCACCCCCCACGATCTCCGCGACGGTCTGAGATGATGCCGTCGTGAGATGAGGTTTCTGTTCGGAACTCGCAGGTCTAAACCCCCCCCCCCCCGCGTGACGTCGCCACCCAGTCCGTCGCGAGACGAAGAGCGAGAGACACTGTCCCCGCAGAAGCGGATAGCGCGGAACTACTTCTAGTGATGCGTCCCGCTGGTCCTGTGGTCCACTCGGGGCGGGGGAGGGGGGAGGGCGGCACTTCCCCTCACCCCGCTCTGCCACTGCCACAGACTGTTCCGTCGTATGGCGGTCAAACCGATAGTTTTCACGACCGACATGCAGCACAGTTGATTTGCAAAGCGAACGTGCTGGTGGTATTCCTGCTCGCTCATCGATGGCCATTCTGAGATTATCGATCGACGCAGTTTATCGATGAGCGACCTAGACTCGGATTGGAACCCAGGTCCTTGGCAGTGTCCAGCTCGCCGCGTGCTCGCCTCCGAGCAGCCCGGCCACCTCTCGCCTCCCCCCTCTAACTCCGCTCCGCTTGTTTCTCTGACTCCGCTCCGCTTGTTTCTCTGACTCCGCTCCACTTGTTTCTCTGACCCCGCTCCGCTCGTTTCGCTAACTCCGCTCCGCTTGTTTCTCTGACTCCGCTCCGCTTGTTTCTCTGACTCCGCTTGTTTCTGTAACTCCGCTCCGCTCGTTTCGCTAACTCTGCTCCGCTTGTTTCTCTGACTCCGCTCCGCTTGTTTCTCTGACTCCGCTCCGCTTGTTTCTCTGACTCCGCTCCGCTTGTTTCTGTAACTCCGCTCCGTTTGTTTCTCTGACTCCGCTCCGCTTGTTTCTCTGACTCCGCTCCGCTCGTTTCTATGACTCCGCTCCGCTTGTTTCTCTGACTCCGCTTGTTTCTGTAACTCCGCTCCGCTTGTTTCTCTGACTCCGCTCCGCTTGTTTCTCTGACTCCGCTCCGCTTGTTTCTCTGACTCCGCTCCGCTCGTTTCTCTGACTCAGCTCCGCTCGTTTCTCTGACTCCGCTCCGCTTGTTTCTCTGACCCCGCTCCGCTCGTTTCTCCCTCTCGCCACAGACGACGCTCGCACCGAAAGCAACGCTCGGGTGACGGAGGGGGCGGCCAAGAAAGTAGAGGAGGCCTCCAAAGAGGATGAGGAGGTGGACGAGGAGGAGGAAGAGGACGACGATGATGTCGACATGCCGGACCTCTCCGGCTTCGCCATCGAAGACCTCAAACAGTGAGCGTCACGTCGTTAAAACTGTCGACCAAGTTTATTTTACCCCAGGTGTAAGGGCCCACTGAGCAACTACGTAGCTCTGTTTCAGATGCGACCTAGCCACAAATGATAGCTCAACGTAGTAGTTCGTCATCATCATCACGTGGACATTTATATCGGCAGCCAACCGCTCTAAACGCGTGACGTTGATTCTAAATGTAGAGGGGAAAAACCCGGAGGACCCGGAGAAAAATCCACATGCGATCACGGGGATAGAGACATGCAAAATCCAAATATACAGCAGCAGGCGTCAGGGTCGGGATTGAACCCACGATCTCCTGTAGACCAGACGAGGTAGTTAACATCTCACCACAGAGAGAGAGAGACGCAAACTGCAAATATACAGCAGCAAACGTCAGGGTCGGGATGGAACCCACGACCTTCTGTGTACCAGGCGAGGTAGTTAACATTTCACCACGGAGAGAGAGACACGCAAACTCCAAATATACAGCAGGTGTCAGGGTCGGGATCGAAAGCACGACCTCATTACTCTTTGGTTCTTTCGGTAAAGTCACGTAGGTATAAAATAAACCACGACCTCCTGTATACCAGGCGAGGTAGTTAACATCTCCTAGCCACCGTGGCGCTCGTTTGCCCGAGCGTTTGTTTGAGCGTCGCGGTGTGGTGGTAGCAGCTCACACGGCAATGTGGGATGGTGACCCACTTTGAGGCGGTATAGCAAGTAGGTTTGCCGATCTTATTTCTACTGATATTTTAATTATTCTGAAAAGTGTGTGTGGCGCGCATGTGTATGTATGTCGAAGTTCTTTCTCGCCGTACGTTGCCAACCGTGCTAATTGGAGGTGCGGAATGATAAAGTAAAACACAAAAAAGTATTTCGAAAGAAATTAGTTTGTTAATCTCAACGATTATTTAAATGTGGACAGCTCCAGTGGCTCCCTCATCGGAAGGAAGCGCATCTGAAAGTACGCGCTGCGAGGATGTCGTGTGTGTGCGTGTGTGTTTAAAGTACGCGCTGCGAGGATGTCGTGTGTGTGTTTAAAGTACACGCTGCGAGGATGTCGTGTGTGTGTGTTTAAGTATACGCGAGTGTGTGTGTGTGTGTTTAAGTATACGCGAGTGTGTGTGTGTTTAAAGTATGCGCTGCGAGGATGTCGTGTGTGTGCGTGTGTGTTTAAAGTACGCGCTGCGAGGATGTCGTGTGTGTGTGTGTTTAAGTATACGCGAGTGTGTGTGTGTTTAAAGTACGCGCTGCGAGGATGTCGTGTGTGTGTGTGTGTGTTTAAGTATACGCGAGTGTGTGTGTGTGTGTTTAAGTATACGCGAGTGTGTGTGTGTGTGTTTAAGTATACGCGAGTGAGTGTGTGTGTATTTCTCCGGTTGCGTGCGTGTGTGCGCGAAGGCGCTACGACGGTGTGGTGCAGCGCCTTTACTCGGGCATCCAGTGCTACTCGTGCGGCATGCGCTTCACGGCGCGCCAGACGGACGTCTACGCCGACCACCTCGACTGGCACTACCGCATGAACCGCATGGACAAGGACCTGAGCAAGAAGGTCACCCACCGCCGCTGGTACTACTCGCTCGTGGTAAGCGGCGCTCGCCAACTCGCTGGGTGCCTCGGAGACGATAACTACTTCGCCCTGGTATGCAGGAGCTTGTGGGTTCGATCCCGACCCTGCTTTTGATGCCTGCTGTATATTTGGAGTTTGCGTGTCTGTCTCTCCTCCCCATGGTGAGATGTTAACTACCTCGCCTGGTATACAGGAGGTCTCCCTCGCATCTCCCTTGTATACCGACCAAGGCCACGCCCCCCCTTCTCGATCATTCTCGCTGACTCTGGACGCTCGCTTCACCGGCAGACTCCATCCTCTTCCGTCGCCTGACCACGCTTCCTTCTCGATCATTCCTGTAGCCACCAGTCCCTTCGCACTCACAACTGATACCCCTGTCATTACCTCACGTGGTCACCAGTCCCTTCGCACTCACAGCTGATACCCCTGTCATTACCTCCCGTGGCCACCGGTCCCTTCGCACTCACAACTGACTCCCCTGTACTTACCTCCAGTGGCCACCAGTCCCTTCACACTCACAACTGACTCCCCTGTCATTGCCTCCCGTGGCCACCAGTCCCTTCGCACTCACAGCTGACTCCCCTGTCATTACCTCACGTGGCCACCGGTCCCTTCGCACTCACAACCGACACCCCCGTCACACCCCCGTCATTACTTCCCGTGGCCACTAGTGCATTCGTACTGTAGGCTGACCTCCCTGTCATTTCCTCCCATAGCCACGAGTCCCCTCACACCGCATGCCGGCTCTATTAACAAACTAAACACGCGCAAAAAAAGCACGCCTGGTGTCCTGGCACAACCGCGCTAATCGGATGTCAAACTCCTTTGCTCGGAGCTCTGCCCGACCCTTGACCTCCCGTCGTTTGCGCCGCCGCCGCCGCCGCCGCCGCAGGACTGGATCGAGTTTGAGGAGATCGCCGATCTGGAGGAGCGGGCCAAGAGCCAGTTCTTCGAGCAGGTGCAGGAGGAGGTGGTCCTCAAGACGCAGGAGGCGACGCGCGAGAAGGAGTTCCTGAGCGTGCCCGCCGGGCCCGCCGGCGTCGAAGAGGTGCGCAGACACGCGCGGCGCTCGCGAGGGCGGGGGGAGGGGGTCATCGGTCATCGTCGTCGCGTGCCGTTCGTCTGTTTTTCATCGCCGCTGTTGCGTGCTCGGGAGACTAAAGGGGGTGGTACCCTGCGTGTGTGCTTGCTTGCTTGCGTGCGTGACTGTCCAGCTGTGCGAGATCTGCCGTGAGCAGTTTGAACAGTACTGGGACGAGGACGAGGAAGAGTGGCACCTGAAGAACGCCGTCAGGGTGGACAGCCGGGTGAGTTGGCGGTGCCAGGATCGGTCGACTCACGCGCAAAAACAAAGATCCCCCCCCCCCCCCCCCCCGGTGTAACCTCCACAGACTGTTCGTGCTGGTAACGAGCGCCTGTGAATTCCGGAAGGGCACACGAGTGATTGGGCAAGGCGCACGCGCGGCAAAACTGCGCCGCCCTCGCGCTGATTGTAAACGAGCGAACGCTAATCACCCTGACCCGCCCCCCCGCCCCGTTTCTTGTGTTGCAGACGTTCCACCCGACGTGCTACGAAGACCACAAGGATGTGAGTACACCCACCCCGCCCTGCCCTGTCAATCGGGACGTCTCCACCGCACACACACACACAACAACAACAACCGCCATTCGCCACTAAGTGGCGGTGACGTCACCACGACGCTTGTGCCAGGCCATGTGCACCCTGAGGCCGCGTGAAGTGTCGAACGCCCGCTGGCAGGAGGTCAAGGGGCAGACCCAGGTGCCACGGGTCGACTGACTGAGATGACTGGCTGATGCACCACCTGTGCCCCCTACTGTGCCAACCTGCTGTGCTTTAGCCACCCAGCGGTCCGCTCGTTGTTGTGAGCGTCGTTCCTCCGCCCTCCGTTGTTGTTGGAGGGCGACTGCCTCCAACTGCCCAGTAGCGTCCTTCACGAGCCTCCTCCGCAGAGGCCGATCTTGACACCGCTGGTACCAGTCATCGGCAAGTCCACTCAGCTGCACGTCCTCCTGTACCACATCACTCCATCTCTTCTCTAGCCCATGCCGCGCCCGTTTATCCCCCTCGATCCGGCCGAACAAAAGCTGTTTAGGCATGCTGTGGCTGAGCATGCGGGCTACATGACCCAGCTAATGCAGCCTTGCCTGCCGGAGGAACTCACCGATGGGACCTTGCCCAGATCTTCCAAGGATTTGTGAGCTCCTCACACAATCCAGTCTGGTTAAACCCAAGATGGATCGTGGGCAGGCCAGCCTAAATGTTTCTAACCGGCGAAGATGTTCCATTAGGGGGGTCCACGTTTCGCAAGCGTAGAGAAGGGAGGGAATGACCGTGGCCGAGAAGACCTGAAGCTTAGTGCGGAGCGACAGACCAGGTAGCTTCCACACAGGGTTACGCAACCAATGAAAAGATATTGCCGCTCGACTGATTCGGAGTGAGACCTCTGCTGTTAAACTGGAGCCGGTCATAAGCACACTGTCAGGCTATGGGAAACTCCACTCTCTCCACATCTGCCCCATCACCGATTGGGAGTTGTGTTGGTGGAGTGTCCGATGGTACAAAATACCCAGGCAGGTGCTTAGTTTTGGTGGGGCTGATGGTAATGCCCCATCTCTTAGTGGCACGCTGCAGTCTCAGCAGCAGCGTCTCCAACTCCTACTCTGAATGAGCAGCTATTACCAAATCATCGGCATACATAACGTGGTTGAGCAATAGGGAGCCATCCCTTGACCGCACCCGGGCATCGATCAGCCTCCCATTATATCTGTACCAAATGGAGATTCCCCCGGTACAGCTATTGAAGGCTTCACGAACTACGTGGTAAAAATAGATGTTAAATAATGTGGGAGCCAGAGGACATCCCTGTCGCACCCCTAGGTGTACAGGGTATGGCTCTGACTCCTGGCATGTAGTTTTACCTGGGCCCGCTCACCATCATGAAGGTCCTTAATGATCGTGAGGAGAGGGTCAGGTACTCCAAAAGCACGAAGAACAACCCAGAGCCCAGGCCTACTGATGGTATCATAGGCCTTGACCAGGCTAATAAAGCAGAGATGTAGGTCTTGCTGAAATTCCCTATACCTCTGCTGTAGCAGGACAGAAAATATGGCATCTGTGCAGGACCGCCCTTTCCTGAAACCTCATTGGGGCTCCGCAAGCCTTTCCTCAGCGTGCATGGCAAGGCGATGTTGAATAATCCTTGCCAGGACCTTTCACGGCACATATACTTCCCACCACACACACACATACCACACACACACATACCACACACACACCACACACACACACACCACACATACACCACACCACACACACACCACACACACACATACCACACACACACATACCACACACACACATACCACACACACCACACACATACCACACACACACATACCACACACACACATACCACACACACACATACCACACACACATACCACACACACACATACCACACACACACATACCACACACACACATACCACACACACACACACCACACATAGCACACACACCACACATACCACACGCACACACACCACACACACCACACACACACCACACCACACACACACACCATACACATACCACACACACACACCACACACATACCACACACATACCACACACATACACCATACACATACACCATACACATACCACACACACACCACACACATACCACACACATACCACACACACCACACACCACACACATACCACACACACATACCACACACACACACTCCCCCGCTCAAACTCTCCACGGACCACACAGTGTAGACACACCCACCCACCCACCCGCGGAGAGTTTTGAGAGCTTAGTTTTGCGTGTTTGTCTGGGAGATTTAGTTGGTTTTGTGTTGGGGGAGTGATGTGCATCGGTGACCCTCCCCCTCCCTGTCCACCTTCCGTGCCCTTCCCCCCCCCCCAGTCGTCATTTGACCTCACTCCGACTCCCACGACCTCCACCCAGGAGAATCCGCTCGAGTGCGCGTTGAGCGACGCTCGCGAACCCGACGCCGCCGTCGTCGTCAATGACGACGGCGGCGGCGACGACGGCGACGCCGCCTCCCACTCGGCGTCGTTGGTCGCGTGCGGCTCCCAGGACTCGGCGCTGGGCAGCTCGCTTGAAGTGGCCCCGGACTCGGCTCCGTCGGAGGCTGCGCCGTCGCCGGAGAGCTGTCCGACCGGGGTCGCGGGCGGAGCCGGCGGAGGCGCCGTCCCCGCGCCGGGCGGCGCGGACGAGGGCTCCGACCGGGCGGGCGAGTGGCCCGCCGACGCCGCCGGTACCGCCGCCACCGCCACCGCCGCCGGTACCGCCGCCGCTTCTTCTCCGCCGCCGGCCGGCACCGAGGTGTCGGCGCAAGCCGCCGATGTGCAGGTCAAAATGGAGACGGAGTGAACATTGCGGTGTCCCGTTTGACGTGCCAGGCCCGCACCGCCGTGTGCCGTGGGGGCCATCGAATTAAAAATGCGAGGGGGGTGAAAAGCGGTGGTCGGCCGCCATCCTCGTGCCCGCTTTGCGATCGCTTCATCGGTGCGGTTTTTATTTTTTTCCCCTCATTAAATGTCTCAGAAGTGTTGAGTCGGAGCCACCAAACGCGCACACAAGTCTTGCCGAGCCGCTGCTGCTTTGGGGTTTCTTTCGGTTTAAATCGAAGCCGGTCGGGCCTGCACGAGGGGCGCGCGATTTGTTTGAAACGACGTACGTGGACGTCCGTTTTGTGTGGCAGTGTGCGACGTGTCTGCCTCATGTGTGCGTACGGCGCACTTTACTTGAACCGCCGTCTCGGTCTTCAGAATACATTTTATTTCGCTATCCCACTGAGCAGGGACGAAACCCCCCATCCCTTCTCTTGGGGACGCAGCCCCCCCCCCCCTCCTTGCTAGATAACTTTCCGCCACTCGGGCAGTTTCGGCAACTTTGCACTGCAGGTCGCAGTCGCGACGTCCTTGCCAAGCGGTCGGGGAGAAGTGGAGCCGTGTTGGGGGCGTTCATTTCTGTGGGCGGGCGGGCGGGCGGACTCCCTCCCCCCGCGACTACTTGTATACTTGTGTATATCGGCAGAAATCTGTAAATTATTATTACCGTTCTGAGAATAAAGATATTTTTGATAACCGCCTGGTGTGAGCGCCCAATTGTCGGCCCGGGTGGGCACGGAACGAGTGGGCGATCCGCCTGCGGGTAGCCTCCGGGGCTTCTGTGTTTGTGTTGTGGCTGAACCCCCCCTTCCCCCCCCAGTGTGGCTTGCAGGGGGATTGGTTCATCCTCTCGACTGAACGCGCAGCACTAACCACCCCTACCCCCCCCCCCCTTCGTCCGTGATGGCTCGTCAAATAATTTCGCCAAAATTGAAGGTGCGAAATTTTGTTGTTGCCGTGTTTCTCAAGATGCTTTAATGAAATTTTTAAAAAATGATTTGCAAAAATGTCGACTTTCTGCCTACCCCCCCCCTCCTCCTCCGTGTGCACGCCGTTTTAAGCGTTTGGTTATAGCGTTGTGTGTGCACGCGGCTACGTGATTTGTGCGCGAATAGACCCCCGCCCCCCGAGGCGTTTCTATAGGCGAACCTTCGGGGGGCGATTGGACAGAAGGACGTTCTTGGCGATTGCCAGTAAACGTGGGACGGGGAGGGAGAGAGAAAAAACCCCAGAGAGGATTTGGACGTCGCGGCGGAACGCGTGCTGTGTGTGCCGGGGTGACTTACGGGCGAGTTGCGGACAGGTGTAAATACAGCGCCCTTGGCTTCAGTTGTGAGATTTTAGTTTTTACCAATTTAAGGTCGACACCGGTGGCGTCATAGGGCCTTCCGGCCGCGCCATCCGTTTTGAATCGCGTTGAACCACCACGCCCCCCTCACAGGTTTTCAAACATTGCCGGCGACTCGTGTAAAACACAATTCTTCGTTCAATAAAAGTACGCCGAAAGTGAACAACGGCCTTCTCGCCTCGTGCTTTGTGTGAATGGAGTTGTGAAGAGTGCAAGCCAGTGGGAGGGCCCCGTGTGCCTCGGAAGTTGGCCTGGTGGCCCGCGGCCCAGCGGGGGCCCCTCAGCGCTTTGTAGGGTACACGTGTGCGACGAGTTCGCTAACCAACCCGTCATTAGAACCTGACGAGAGAGAGAGAGATTTTAGACTCGGGTCTGCGCGCTGTAACTAGTCGCGAATTGGCCGTGTGCGCGTGGTGGCGGGTTGAACGACGCATTCGTATTGACGCCAGCTAACGCAATAAAAAAAGAGCATATCGTTGCGTTCACGTTTGGTTTTGAAAGACATTTACAATGTGACGATCACCTCTTCTAGCTCGGGCGGAGGGGTTTGCGAACGTGTGGCTCGGGAGCTACGTGCCGCCCTTTTAAGGGACTCTGAATCGTGACTTAATCGCATTGCATCGGCGGCTCATTAAATATTGAGTTGGGTTTTTATTTCAATTTCTGGTACCGATATTCAAAATCACGAAAATGGCTCCTCTTGTTATTTTGTTTGCCCCGATGCCCCCCCCCCCTTGCCACCCAGGCAGTGCGGAATTATCCCAGTAGCTGGTTTGACACGTCGGCTGTATACACAACAGCCGCCATTCACCACTGAGTGGCAGTGACGTCACCACGACGCTTGTGCCAGGCTATGTGCATCTTGAGGCCACGTGAAGTGTCGAACGCTCGCTGGCAGGAGGTCACGGGGCAGACCCAGGTGCCACGGGTCGGTTGACTGAGATGACTGGCTGATGCACCACATGTGCCCCCTACTGTGCCAACCTGCTGTGCTTTAGCCACCCGGCGCTCCGCTCGTTGTTGAGCGTCGCTCCTCCGCCCTCCGTCCTTGTTGGAGGGCGACTGCCTCCAACTGCCCAGTAGCGTCCTTCACGAGCCTCCTCCACAGAGGCCGATCTTGACACTGCTGGTACCAGTCATCGGCAAGTCCACTCAACTCCACGTCCTCCTGTACCACATCACTCCATCTCTTCTCTAGCCCGTGCTGCGCCCATTTAGCCCCCTCGATCTGGCCGAACAAAAGCTGTTTAGGCATGCGGTGGCTGGGCATGTGGGCTACATGGCCCAGCCATCGCAGCCTTGCCTGCCGGAGGAGCTCACCGATGGGACTTTGTCCAGATCTTTCAAGGATTGTGAGCTCCTCACACAATCCAGCCTGGTTAAGCCCAGGATGGATCATAGGCAGGCCAGCCTAAATGTTTCTAACCGGCGCAGCTGCTCCTTTTAAAGGGGGTCCCCCCACGTTTTGTAAGCATAAAAAAAGGGAAGTCAACTGTGGCCGAGAAGAGCCGCAGCTTCGTGTGGAGCGACAGGCCGCCGGCCGGGCAGCTTCCACAGAGCGTTACGCAGCCGATGAAAAGATGCCGCCTCGCTCGGCGTGACACCTCCCGCCGCCAAAGCCGAGCCGGTCATGGGCTCGCTGGCCCAGCGTGCGGGAACTCCTCCCCAACTCTCTCCACAACGGTCCCAAACAAACGTCGCACCACGCACGGTGGGAGGGGGGGGGGTCAGAATTCCACCTGGGTGTTTTATTTTCAAAAGGCGGCTGCACAAAAAAAGCGACCGTTTTCCCCGACCTCTTGCAAATCACCGCAGCACCGGGCCCCGGAGTTAAGTGGAGTGCCGTGTGCCGGGGGAAGCGGGGAGACCGCACGCCTCTCACCCCCCCACCCCTCTCGACTCCGCGGTGCCGCAAAAGTTTGAACGCAAATGTAAACATCTCTCTCTCCCTCCGCGTGGTCGCGCCCCCGCCACCCGGCGCGCCCGCACGAGTCGATCTCCCCCCAACGCCGTCCCGCCTCCCGACAGTCTGTTGAAGGCTACACGGGGGATCTTTGCCTTTGTGGGTGCGGCAGCCCCGCCGCCGCCCGTCCGTGAGAGCGAGGGAGGTGGCGGTGTCTCCGTTTCGCCACGGGCGGCACCATTCCTGGGACGGGCCCGGCTAGCGTCCTCATCAGAATCCGAGGACGTGTTTTTCACGCTGGAGAAATCCGATGAGCTATAAAGCTCTTTCACAAATGCCCAGTCTTGGACCCCCCCCCTCCCCCCATCATCACACTCTCGGCTCCGAATTGCTGCTCCATCTCTCCTTTACGGACGCGTCTTGTCGCCAAGAATATTTATTTTTTCCCGAACCGCCGGACGTATCCCCCCCAACGCCGTCGTCCCACGTGACAATGAAACTTCCGGCGGCTGTGCAACAAAAAAAAGTTAAAAAATATACTTACAAAAGAATGTGTTTTAACCCCGCGCCCGAAGTTGACCTAAGTGAGAGTGCGCACCACCGGTCTGTGACCGTGAGCCCGCACGGTGGCTAGGAGATGTTGACTACCTCGCCTAGTATACAGGAGGTCGTGGGTTCAATCCCGACCCTGACACCTGCTGTATATTTGGAGTTTGCGTGTCTCTCTCGCCCTGTGGTGAGATGTTAACTACCTCGCCTGGTATACAGGAGGTCGTGGGTTCAATCCCGACCCTGACGCCTACTGTATATTTGGAGTTTGCGTGTCTCTCTGTCTCCGTGGTGAGATGTTAACTACCTCGCCTGGTATACAGGAGGTCGTGGGTTCAATCCCGACCCTGACGCCTGCTGTATATTTGGAGTTTGTGTGTCTCTGTCTCCGAGGTGAGATGTTAACTACCTCGCCTGGTATGCAGGAGGGCGTGGGTTCGATCCCGACCCTGATGCCTGTTGTATATTTGGAGTTTGCGTGTCTCTCTCGCCCTGTGGTGAGATGTTAACTACCTCGCCTAGTATACAGGAGGTCGTGGGTTCAATCCCGACCCTGCTGCTGCTGTATATTTGGAGTTTGCGTGTCTCTCTCGCCCTGTGGTGAGATGTTAACTACCTCGCTTGGTACGCAGGAGGGCGTGGGTACGATCCCGACCCTGACGCCTGCTGTATATTTCGAGTTTGTGTCTCTCTGTCTCCGAGGTGAGATGTTAACTACCTCGCCTGGTATGCAGGAGGGCGTGGGTACGATCCCGACCCTGACGCCTGCTGTATATTTGGAGTTTGTGTGTCTCTCTGTCTCCGTGGTTAGATGTTAACTACCTCGCCTGGTATGCAGGAGGGCGTGGGTTCGATCCCGACCCTGACGCCTGCTGCTGCTGCTGTGTATTTGGAGTTTGTCTCTCCGTGGTCGCATGGATTTTGCTCCGGTTCCTCCGGTTTCCCCCTCCACATTGAGAATCGACGTCACGCATCTAAGAGTCTTTGGCTGCTGTTTATACGTTTCCACACGATGCGTTACTTCGTTCAGCCGTCGTTTGTGATGGCCCTTCTGAAAACGAGCTGTATCGCTCAGTTGGGGCCTTAGCTGGTGAAATAAAAAGTGGTTTTTGTTTTTTTTACCAAAACAAGCCCCAGGAAAATCGGGGCAGCTCTGCACAAACGGGGCCGTTAGCCCCGTTTTGAGGTTTTTGTTTTCTGTTCTGAGGTTCACTTGGCGATTTTAAATGTCCAGGAGTTGGATGAGACGCAGGTTGAGCGAATGAGATCCAGGGCGAAAGGGAGTGAGTCCAGGGATCTGCATCGTGGTCTTCACGCCTCCTGGTGGAACGGCAGGAAGGGGGTGTGGAAGCAGGTGAGGAGGAGGTGAGGAGGAGGGGGGTGAGGTACGAGTAAATGAGCGAGCGAGGGAGGGAGCGAGGGAGTGAGCGGGAGAGGAGTGAGCGAGTGAACGTGCGAGCGAGCATGCTAGCGAACGAGAAGTGAGTGAGCATGTTAGTGAGCGAGCGAGTGAGGAGTGAGTGAGTGAGCATGTTAGTGAGCGAGTGAGTAGTGAGTGAGTGAGCATGTTAGTGAGCGAGTGAGTGAGGAGTGAGTGAGTGAGCATGTGAGCGAGTGAGGAGTGAGTGAGTGAGTGAGCATGTTAGCGAGCGAGTGAGGAGTGAGTGAGTGAGCATGTTAGTGAGCGAGTGAGTAGTGAGTGAGTGAGCATGTTAGTGAGCGAGTGAGTGAGGAGTGAGTGAGTGAGCATGTGAGCGAGTGAGGAGTGAGTGAGTGAGCATGTTAGTGAGCGAGCGAGTGAGGAGTGAGTGAGTGAGCATGTTAGTGAGCGAGCGAGTGAGGAGTGAGTGAGCATGTTAGTGAGCGAGTGAGGAGTGAGTGAGTGAGCATGTTAGTGAGCGAGCGAGTGAGGAGTGAGTGAGTGAGCATGTTAGTGAGTGAGCGAGTGAGGAGTGAGTGAGTGAGCATGTTAGTGAGTGAGCGAGTGAGGAGTGAGTGAGTGAGCATGTTAGCGAGCGAGTGAGGAGTGAGTGAGTGAGCATGTTAGTGAGCGAGCGAGTGAGGAGTGAGTGAGTGAGCATGTTAGCGAGCGAGTGAGGAGTGAGTGAGTGAGCATGTTAGTGAGCGAGCGAGTGAGGAGTGAGTGAGTGAGCATGTTAGTGAGCGAGCGAGTGAGGAGTGAGTGAGTGAGCATGTTAGCGAGCGAGTGAGGAGTGAGTGAGTGAGCATGTTAGTGAGCGAGCGAGTGAGGAGTGAGTGAGCATGTTAGTGAGCGAGCGAGTGAGGAGTGAGTGAGTGAGCATGTTAGTGAGCAAGCGAGTGAGGAGTGAGTGAGTGAGCATGTTAGTGAGCGAGTGAGTGAGTAGTGAGTGAGTGAGCATGTTAGTGAGCGAGTGAGTGAGGAGTGAGTGAGCATGTTAGTGAGCGAGCGAGTGAGGAGTGAGTGAGTGAGTGAGCATGTTAGTGAGCAAGCGAGTGAGAAGTGAGTGAGTGAGCATGTTAGTGAGCGAGTGAGGAGTGAGTGAGCATGTTAGTGAGCGAGTGAGTGAGGAGTGAGTGAGCATTTTAGTGAGCGAGTGAGTGAGAAGTGAGTTAGTGAGCATGTTAGTGAGCGAGTGAGGAGTGAGTGAATTAACATATGAGCAAGTGAGCCAGTGAGTGAGCGAGCAGGTGATCGAGCGAGTGAGCGAGCCAGGAGCGAACTTGCGAGCGAGTGAGCGAGTGAGTGAGCATGTTAGCGAGCGAGGAGTGAGCGAGTGAGCGAGTGAGTGAGCATGCTAGTGAGTGAGTGAGTGAGCGAGTGAGTGAGCGAGTGAGCGAGCCAGGAGTGAACTTGCGTGCGAGCGGTGCTCCTCACCGGGCTGGCGATGGCGGCGGCGGCGGCGCTGAGTGCCGCCAGGCTGCGCCGGATCTCGCTCTGCTCCCCGCGGAGAGACACGAGCGAGCGCTTGCCCACGCGGCGCACGGCGGCCCCCCGCCCCGCCGCTCCCCCTGCTGCCCGCGCCGCCCCCCACAGGTCCCCGTCGTGCTAGAGTGGGGGGGAGAGTGGGGGGGAGAGTGGGGGGGAGAGTGGGGGGGGAGTGGGGGGAGAGTGGGGGGGGAGTGGGGGGAGTGGGCGGAGTGGGGTGGCACGGAGGCGGAAGGTTAGGATGTTTGGCGTCTTGTTGGCAGCGCCAGGCTCGCGTTGGCGAAAGAGAAATAAATAATAATAATAATAGATTCTTATCGGGGGGGGGGGGGGGACCAGGGCTGGACGTCTGTGGTAAAGAGCTTCATAGCTCATCAGATTCGTCCGGCGTAAATACGATTCGGTGCCGGTGAAAACGTCAGATGCGGGTCCCGGTTTGCCGTGAGGCTACGCGACGCAACGTGCAGACACGCACGGCACGCGGTGACCCCAGCCGTGACCCCACGGTGACCCCAGCGGTGACCCCAGCGGTGACCCCACGGTGACCCCACGGTGATCCCCACGGTGACCCCCGCAGTGACCCCCGCGGTGACCCCCACGGTGACCCCCGCAGTGACCCCAGCGGTGACCCCACGGTGACCCCCGCAGTGACCCCACGGTGACCCCACGGTGACCCCCGCGGTGACCCCACGGTGACCCCACGGTGACCCCCACGGTGACCCCACGGTGACCCCACGGTGACCCCCGCGGTGACCCCCACGGTGACCCCCGGGGTGACCCCCACGGTGACTCCCGCGGTGACCCCCGTGGTGAACCCCACGGTGAACCCCGCGGTGACCCCCGCGGTGACCCCCGCGGTGACCCCCACGGAAGTCGCCTGGGTAGCAAGGCGGGGGCGGCTCACCTGCGTGTACAAGATGCTCGCGTGCCAGTGGAGGAAGTCCGCCTCATTGTCAAAGCACAGATACCTGGGCAGGACAACAACAGCAACGACAACAACAGCCATCATTCGCCACCAAGTCGGCGGTGATGTCACCACGGCACTCGTGCCAGGCTAGGTGCGCGTTGAGGTCGACCACAGAATGCGTGGAAGCCTCGCTGCTGGCAGGAGGAGGTCACGGGATGGAGCCAGGTGCCGTGGGTTGACTGCTGTGCCAGGCTAGGTGCAGGAGGAGGTCACGGGAACAGATCCAGCATGCGCTGGAGGTTGTCTGGCTGAGGTGACCGGCAGACCCACTGCTTGTGCTCCCCACTGTGCCAAGTGACTCATAGACACGCCTTCACGTGCCCACTCTCATACATTCACTCACCCACTCACTCACTCTCACACCCACTCTCATACATTCACTCACCCACTCACTCACTCTCACACCCACTCTCATACATTCACTCACCCACTCACTCACTCACTCTCACATCCACTCTCATACATTCACTCACCCACTCACTCACTCTCACACTCACTCTCATACATTCACTCACCCACTCACTCACTCTCACACTCACTCTCATACATTCACTCACCCACTCACTCTCACTCTCATACATTCACTCACCCACTCACTCTCACACCCACTCTCATACATTCACTCACCCACTCACTCTCACACTCACTCTCATACATTCACTCACCCACTCACTCACTCTCACACCCACTCTCATACATTCACTCACCCACTCACTCTCACACTCACTCTCATACATTCACTCACCCTCTCACTCACTCTCACACCCACTCTCATACATTCACTCACCCACTCACACACTCTCACACCCACTCTCATACATTCACTCACCCACTCACTCACTCTCACACTCACTCTCATACATTCACTCACCCACTCACTCACTCTCACACTCACTCTCATACATTCACTCACCCACTCACTCACTCTCACACCCACTCTCATACATTGACTCACCCACTCACTCACTCACTCTCACACCCACTCTCATACATTCACTCACCCACTCACTCACTCTCACACCCACTCTCATACATTGACTCACCCACTCACTCACTCTCACACCCACTCATACATTCACTCACCCACTCACTCACTCTCACACCCACTCTCATACATTCACTCACCCACTCACTCTCACTCTCATACATTCACTCACCCACTCACTCACTCTCACACTCACTCTCATACATTCACTCACCCACTCACTCTCACACCCACTCTCATACATTCACTTACCCACTCACACACTCTCACACTCACTCTCATACATTCACTCACCCACTCACTCACTCTCACACTCACTCTCATACATTCACTCACCCACTCACACACTCTCACACTCACTCTCATACATTCACTCACCCACTCACTCACTCTCTCTCACACTGACACATTCAAGCACTCACTCTCACACTCACTCAGTCACCCCTCACTCTCACACTCACTCAGTCACTCACTCTCACACCCACTCACTCAGTCACCCACTCACTCTCACACTCACTCAGTCACTCACTCTCACACCCACTCACTCACTCAGTCACCCATTCACTCTCACACTCACTCAGTCACTCACACCCACTCACTCAGTCACCCACTCACTCTCACACTCACTCACTCAGTCACCCACTCACTCTCACACTCACTCAGTCACTCACTCACTCTCACACCCACTCATTCAGTCACCCACTCACTCTCACACCCACTCACCCACCCACCCACTAATTCACACTCTCTCACTGACACATTCAAGCACTCACTCTCACACCCACTCACTCACTCAGCCACTCACTCACTCAGTCACTCACTCACTCAGCCACCCACTAACTCACTCTCTCACACTGACACATTCAAGCACTCACTCTCTCAGTCACCCACTAACTCACTCACTCTCACACTCACTCAGTCACCCACTAACTCACTCACTCTCACACTCACTCAGTCACACACTCACTCAGTCACTCACTCACTCTCACACATTCAAGCACTCACTCTCACACCCACTCACTCAGTCGCCCACTCACCCACTCAGCCACCCACGAACTCGCACCAGCTCAGCGAGTGTGGTGAGTGTGGTGAGAAGTGTGGTGAGAAGTGTGGTGAGGAGTGTGGTGAGGAGTGTGGTGAGGAGTGTGGGTCACTCACCACTGCTGGCGCCCATGGAACACGGTCACACCAAACCTGCCAGACACATGGAGAGGTCACTCACCCGCTCACCCAGGAACTAATTCGCTCACCAATTCGTGGGCGGGGCTACCCGAGTAATGGGCGGGGCTACCCGAATATTGGGGCTGGGCCTACCTGGGTAGCAGGCCGGGCTGCCTAAGAAGTGGGCGGGGGCTACCCGAGTAGTAGGCGTGGTAACCCGATTAGTGGGCGGGGCTAGTCGAGTAGTGGGCGGGGCTACTAGAGTAGTGGTCGTGGTTACCCGAGTAGTGAGGCGGGGCTACCCGAGTAGTTGGCCGGGGCTACCTGGGTAGCGGGCGGGGCTGCCTGAGAAGTGGGCGGGAGCTAGCCGAGCAGTGGGTGGGGCTACCCGATTAGTGGGCGGGGTTCACCCCTTGTTCTGGAGGGGTGGGGGTAAGGGGGGTGGGGGGGTAAGGGGGGTGGGGGGGTAAGGGGGTGTGGGGGGGTAAGGGGGGCGGGGGGGGTAAGGGGGGTGGGGGGGTAAGGGGGGTGGGGGGGGTGAGGGGGGTGGGGGGGGTGAGGGGGGTGGGAGGGTGGGGGGGTAAGGGGGGTGGGGGGGTAAGGGGGGTGGGGGGGTAAGGGGGGTGGAGGCGAGGGGGGGGCTCACTCAGTGGGGGGTCTCAGCTTCTTACGAACTCCGCGGTAGACGGTGAGAGAGGACACCGCCCACTCCCTGTCAGCCCGGCTTGCCTGCACAAACCACAACCACAACAACCACAATAACCACAACAACCACAACCACAACAACAACCACAACAACAACCACAACAACAACCACAACAACAACAACAACCACAACAACCACAACAACCACAACAACCACAATAACCACCACAACAACCACAACAACCACAACAACAACAACCACAACAACCACAACAACCACTATACCAACAACCACAACAACCACAACAACCACAACAACAACCACAACAACCACAATAACCACTATACCAACAACCACAACCAGAATAACCACAATAACCACTATACCAACAACTACAACAACCACAATAACAACCACAACAACCACAACAACCACAACAACCACTATACCAACAACCACAACAACCACAACAACCACAATAACCACTATACCAACAACCACAACAACCACAACAACAACAACCACAACAACCACAATAACCACTATAACAACCACAACAACCACTATACCAACAACCACAACAACCACAATAACCACCATAACAACCACAACAACCACTATACCAACAACCACAACAACCACAACAACCACAATAACCACTATACCAACAACCACAACAACCACAACAACCACAATAACCACTATACTAACAACCACAACAACCACAACAACCACAACAACCACTATACCAACAACCACAACAACCACAACAACCACAACAACCACTATACCAACAACCACAACAACCACAATAACCACAATAACCACTATACCAACAACCACAACAACCACAACAACCACAACAACCACTATACCAACAACCACAATACCAACAACCACAACAACCACAACAACCACAACAACCACAATAACCACTATACCAACAACCACAACAACCACAACAACCACTACACCAACAACCACAACAACCACAATAAACCACTATACCAACAACCACAACAACCACAATAACCACAATACCAACAACCACAACAACCACAACAACCACAATAACCACTTTGCCAACAACCACAACAACCACTATAACCACTATACCAACAACTACAACAACCACAATAACCACCATAACAACCACAACAACCACAATAACCACTTTGCCAACAACCACAATAACCACCACAACAACCACTATAACCACTATACCAACAACCACAACAACCACAATAACCACCATAACAACCACAACAACCACAATAACCACTATACCAACAACCACAATAACCACCACAACTCATAGTGAGGCTACCCACTTGAGGTGGTATCGTGGTGGTGAGCGTGGCGGTGAGCGTGGCGGTGAGCGTGGCGGTGAGCGGTGAGCGTGGCGGTGAGCGTGGCAGTGAGCGTGGCGGTGAGCGGTGAGCGGTGAGGGGTGAGCGTGGCGGTGAGCGGTAAGCGTGGCGGTGAGCGTGGCGGTGAGCGTGGCGGTGAGTGTGGCGGTGAGCGTGGCGGTGAGCGGTGAGCGGTGAGCGTGGCGGTGAGCGGTGAGTGTGGCGGTGAGCGGTGAGCGGTGAGCGTACCCGTGCGTCGCGGTAAACGGTGGCGACGCCGGCGCTGACCACCAGGAACTTCTCGTGGAACCGCGACACCGGCAGCAGCTCCCCGAGCCGCGTGGCCTCCTCCCGCAGGCGCACCGGGCCCTCCCAGCGCAGCACCGCACCGCTCTGCTCTGCACCACCACAACCACCGCCACGCGCACCGCACACACGCACCGGGTGAGCGAGCGAACGGGTGAGCGGTACCCAGGGAGCACTGCATGGCAGTGGTACAGTGAGGTGAGTGAGTGAAAGGGTGGGTGAAAGGATAAGTGAGCGGGCGGGTGAGCGAGCGGGTGAGCGAGCGGGTGAGCGAGCGGGTGAGTGAGCGGGCAGGCGAGCGGGCGGGTGAGCGGGTGAGTGATCGGGTGAGTGAGTGGGCAGATGAGCGGGTGAGTGAGTGAGCGAGCGAGTGAGTGGGCGAGTGAGTGAGTGAGTGATTGAGTGGGCGAGTGAGTGGGCGGGTGAGTGAGTGGGTGAGTGAGTGGGCGAGTGAGTGGGTGAGTGAGTGGGCGAGTGAGTGAGTGGGCAAGTGAGTGGGCAAGTGAGTGAGTGAGTGGGCGAGTGAGTGGGCGGGTGAGTGAGTGGGTGAGTGAGTGGGTGAGTGAGTGGGGCGGGTGAGTGAGTGGACGGGTGAGTGGGTGAGTGGGTGAGTGGGCGAGTGAGCGGGCGGGTGAGTGGGTGAGCGGGTGAGTGAGTGAGTGAGTGGGGTGGGTGAGGGAGCGGGTGAGTGGGTGGGTGAGTGAGTGGGACGGGTGAGTGGGTGAGGGAGCGGGTGAGCGGGCGAGTGAGTGGGCGAGTGAGCGAGTGAGTGAGTGGGCGAGTGAGTGGGCGAGTGAGCGAGTGAGTGAGTGGGCGAGTGAGTGAGTGGGCAAGTGAGTGAGCGAGTGAGTGAGTGGGCGAATGAGTGGGCGGGTGAGTGAGTGGGTGAGTGAGTGGGGCGGGTGAGTGAGTGGACGGGTGAGTGGGTGCATGGGCGAGTGAGCGGGTGGGTGAGTGCGCGAGTGAGTGGGGTGGGTGAGGGAGCGGGTGAGTGGGCGGGTGAGTGAGTGAGTGAGTGGGGGAGTGGGGGAGCGGGTGAGCAGGTGGGTGGGTGAGTGAGTGGGGTGGGTGAGTGAGTGGGACAGGTGAGTGGGTGAGCGGGCGGGTGAGCAAGTGGGTGGATGAGTGGGCGAGGGGGCGAGTGAGTGGGCGGGTGAGCGGTACCCAGGTAGTGCTGCATGGCGGTGGCGGCGGGGTGAGGCCGGACGATGAGGTAGTGCGTCTGGAAGTCGGCGTGGAGGCGCCACTGCAGCACCGTGTCCAGCACGCGCTGGCGGTAGTGCAGGGCCCGCTCTGCAGGCACAGGCAAAGGGCACCCAGGAAGCTCGCAAGGGATGCTGTGGAAAGTGGCCCAGCTCGCTCGCACACACACACAGCATGCTGGAGGATGACAACAACAGCAGCCTTGTCTTTGTGTGTGTCTGTGTGTGTGTGTCTGTGTGTGTGTCCGTGTGTGTGTCTGTATGTGTGTCTGTATGTGTGTCTGTGTGTGTGTGTACTGTGTGTCTGTGTGTGTGTCTGTGTGTGTGTCTGTGTATGTGTCTGTGTATGTGTTTGTATCTGTGTGTGTCTGTGTGTGTGTGTGTCTGTGTGTGTGTTTGTGTGTCTGTGTGTGTGTCTGTATGTGTGTCTGTGTGTGTGTGTACTGTGTGTCTGTGTGTGTGTCTGTGTGTGTGTCTGTGTATGTGTCTGTGTATGTGTTTGTATCTGTGTGTGTCTGTGTGTGTGTGTCTGTGTGTGTGTTTGTGTGTGTGTGTCTGTGTGTGTATCTGTGTGTGTGTCTGTGTGTGTGTGTGTGTCTGTGTGTGTGTGTGTCTGTGTGTGTGTGTCTGTGTGTGTGTGTCTGTGTGTGTCTGTGTGTGTGTGTGTCTGTGTGTGTGTGTGTGTCTGTGTGTGTCTGTGTGTGTGTGTCTGTGTGTGTGTGTGTGTCTGTGTGTGTGTCTGTGTGTGTCTCTGTGTGTGTGTGTCTGTGTGTGTGTGTCTGTGTGTGTCTGTGTGTGTGTGTCTGTGTGTGTGTCTCTGTGTGTGTGTGTCTGTGTGTGTGTGTCTGTGTGTGTCTGTGTGTGTGTGTCTGTGTGTGTGTGTCTCTGTGTGTGTGTGTCTGTGTGTGTGTGTCTGTGTGTCTGTGTGTGTGTGTGCCTGTGTGTGTGTCTGTGTGTGTGCCTGTGTGTGTGTGCCTGTGTGTGTCTGTGTGTGTGTGTCTGTGTGTGTGTCTGTGTGTGTGTCTGTTTTTTTTAAATCTTTGTGTGGTGGGGAGCGATAGTGTAGCGGTTAGCGCGCTGCGCTATGAACCTGGCGACCCGGGTTCGATTCCCGCTCACGCCCAACATCAGTGACGATTATCTGAACCGGTCCTGGGCCTCCCCTAGATCGACTCAGCCTCAAATGGGTACCCGATGCGATGTGTAGTAAACATCGCCACCCCTCCCTCCCACCGTCTCGTGCGCAGGTGCCGGCCTTCACAGGCCTCGCCCGCTAGGAGCACTCGCCCCTACAGCCTGCCCGAGGCTACACGGGGGAGCTTGGTCTTTTGGAGCAAGCGTGGGGTCGAGCGAGGGGTCGAGCGTGGGGTCGAGCGCGGGGTCGAGCGCGGGGTCGAGCGCGGGGTCGAGCGCGGGGTCGAGCGCGGGGTCGAGCGCGAGAGCCCCCCCCCCCCGACTCACCTAGCTCGCCCCCTGCGATCACCTCGAAGGTGGCCCAGGGAGCTCCCCCCGGCTCCGCTCCAGGCCTCATCTCCAGCACCTCCTCGGCCAGCTCCTGCGACGTCATCGCCGCCGACACCTGCGCAGCAGCGGCACGGCCGCGGCGTTACGTGCACCGAGCTAAAACTATCTTTCCTGTTACCGGGCGAGGGCCCGGCCACGACTCCGTCGCTCTTTTGTCCGACCGCAGCCACCGCCAGTGACGGCCCGGCAAAACGAGGCGTGGAAGTTCGCAGCGGCGGACAAAATGCTCCACGACACGCGTGGCGACGTCGATTCTCAACGCGACCGCAGGGAGAGAGAGAGAGACACGCAAACTACAAATATACAGCAGCAGGAGGCATCGTCAGGGTCGGGATGGAACCCACGACCTCCTGTAGACCACGCGAGGTAGTTAACATCTCATAGCTATCCATGTGTGTGTCAGTGCGGTGTGCTGTGTGTGTCAGTGTGCTGTGTGTCAGTGTGGTGTGCTGTGTGTATCAGTGCTGTGTGCTGTGTGTGTCAGTGTGGTGTGTGTCAGTGTGGTGTGCTGTGTGTCAGTGTGGTGTGTGTCAGTGTGGTGTGCTGTGTGTGTCAGTGTGGTGTGCTGTGTGTGTCAGTGTGGTGTGCTGTGTGTGTCAGTGTGGTGTGCTGTGTGTGTCAGTGTGGTGTGCTGTGTGTGTCAGTGTGGTGTGCTGTGTGTAGTGTGGTGTGCTGTGTGTGTCAGTGTGCTGTGTGTCAGTGTGGTGTGTGTCAGTGTGCTGTGTGTCAGTGCTGTGTGTGTCAGTGTGGTGTGCTGTGTGTCAGTGTGGTGTGCTGTGTGTGTCAGTGTGGTGTGCTGTGTGTCAGTATGGTGTGTGTCAGTGTGGTGTGTGTCAGTGTGGTGTGCTGTGTCAGTGTGGTGTGCTGTGTGTATCAGTGTGGTGTGCTGTGTGTGTCAGTGTGGTGTGCTGTGTGTGTCAGTGTGGTGTGCTGTGTGTGTCAGTGTGGTGTGCTGTGTGTGTCAGTGTGGTGTGTGTGTGTAGTGTGGTGTGTGTGTCAGTGTGGTGTGCTGTGTGTGTCAGTGTGGTGTGCTGTGTGTGTCAGTGCGGTGTGCTGTGTGTCAGTGTGGTGTGCTGTGTGTGTCAGTGTGGTGTGCTGTGTGTGTCAGTGTGGTGTGTGTGTGTAGTGTGGTGTGTGTGTCAGTGTGGTGTGCTGTGTGTGTCAGTGTGGTGTGCTGTGTGTGTCAGTGTGGTGTGCTGTGTGTGTCAGTGTGGTGTGTGTCAGTGTGGTGTGCTGTGTGTGTCAGTGTGGTGTGCTGTGTGTGTCAGTGTGGTGTGCTGTGTGTGTCAGTGTGGTGTGCTGTATGTGTCAGTGTGGTGTGCTGTGTGTGTCAGTGTGGTGTGCTGTGTGTGTCAGTGTGCTGTGTGTGTCAGTGTGGTGTGCTGTGTGTGTCAGTGTGGTGTGCTGTGTGTGTCAGTGTGGTGTGCTGTGTGTGTCAGTGTGGTGTGCTGTGTGTGTCAGTGTGGTGTGCTGTGTGTGTCAGTGTGGTGTGCTGTGTGTGTCAGTGTGGTGTGTGTCAGTGTGGTGTGTGTCAGTGTGGAGTGCTGTGTGTGTCAGTGTGGTGTGCTGTGTGTGTCAGTGTGGTGTGCTGTGTGTGTCAGTGTGGTGTGCTGTGTGTGTCAGTGTGGTGTGCTGTGTGTGTCAGTGTGGTGTGCTGTGTGTGTCAGTGTGCTGTGTGTGTCAGTGTGGTGTGCTGTGTGTGTCAGTGTGGTGTGCTGTGTGTGTCAGTGTGGTGTGCTGCGTGCTGTGTGTGTCAGTGTGGTGTGTGTGTGTCAGTGTGGAGTGCTGTGTGTGTCAGTGTGGTGTGCTGTGTGTGTCAGTGTGGTGTGCTGTGTGTGTCAGTGTGGTGTGCTGTGTGTGTCAGTGTGGTGTGCTGTGTGTGTCAGTGTGGTGTGCTGCGTGCTGTGTGTGTCAGGGTTCACCTGGAGACTCAGGCAGCTGTCGCTGTCTTTGTGCAGGAGGTAAACCTCCATTATCATGTCTCCAGCTCGCTCCTGTAAGCACACCATCATCAGCATCATCATCATCAGCAGCAGCATCATCATCAGCAGCAGCATCATCAACATCATCATCAGCAGCACCAGAATAATCATCCCCATCATCATCACCATCAGCATTATCAGCAGTAGCATCATTAGCAGCAGCATCACTATCATCATCATCATCATCAGCAGAATAATCATCATCCCAATCATCATCACTATCATCATCATCATCAGCAGCAGCAGCAGCAGGATAATCATCATCCCCATCATCATCACTATCATCATCAGCAGCAGAATAATCATCATCCCCATCATCACTATCATCATCAGCAGCAGAAGAATCATCATCCCCCCCATCATCGTCATCACTTTCATCATCAGCAGCAGAATAATCATCATCCCCATCATCATCACTATCATCATCATCAGCAGCAGAATAATCATCATCCCCATCATCATCACTATCATCATCATCAGCAGCAGAATAATCATCATCCCCATCATCATCATCACTATCATCATCATCAGCAGCAGAATAATCATCATCCCCATCATCATCATCACTATCATCATCAGCAGCAGCAGAATAATCATCATCCCCATCATCATCATCACTATCATCATCATCAGCAGCAGAATAATCATCATCCCCATCATCACTATCATCATCATCAGCAGCAGAATAATCATCATCAGCTATCGTCCAGGGTGCGTCTCCCACACGAGCCGTTCGACACCACTGGCGAAGTGACGGTGACCCCAGGTGAGGAGGAGGAGGAGGTGAGGAGGAGGAGGTGAGGAGGAGGTGAGGTGGAGGAGGAGGAGGTGGAGGAGGAGGTGAGGAGGAGGCGGTGAGGAGGAAGTGAGGAGGTGAGGATGTGAGGAGGAGGAGGTGAGGAGGAGGTGAGGTGGAGGAGGTGAGGAGGTGGAGGAGGTGAGGAGGAGGTGAGGAGGTGGAGGAGGAGGTGAGGAGGAGGAGGTGAGGAGGAGGTGAGGTGGAGGTGGAGGTGAGGAGGAGGAGGTGAGGAGGAGGAGGAGGAGGTGGAGGAGGAGGAGGTGGAGGAGGTGAGGAGGTGAGGAGGTGAGGAGGTGGAGGTGAGGAGGAGGAGGTGAGGAGGAGGTGGAGGAGGAGGAGGTGGAGGAGGAGGAGGTGGAGGAGGTGAGGAGGTGAGGAGGTGAGGAGGTGGAGGAGGAGGAGGAGGAGGTGAGGAGGAGGAGGTGAGGAGGAGGTGAGGAGGAGGTGGTGAGGAGGTACCTTGCTGAGGCAACTTGAGCCGCTCATCTGCACGATGAGGTCGGTCTCCTGCTGCCTGGCCCTCAGCTGCTCTTCACTCACCTGCACCCTCACAAAGACAAAGGTCCCCCTGGTAGCCTTCGGGAGCAAGTGCCGCTAGCGAGGAGCGGTGTGGCCGGGACCACGGCCCCCCGGGGCCGCCTTTGTCTCCCCCCAGCGGCGCTGTTTTTACCGCACCGCGCCGGGTACTCGTTTGAGGCCGAGTCGACCTAGGGGAGGTCCAGGACCGGTTCGGATAATCGTCGCCGGTGCCGGTGGCCGTGAGCGGGAATCGAACTCGGGTCGCCGGGTTCGCAGCGCGGCGCCGACCGCTGACGAGCGAGGAGGTGAGCGTGGGGGTGAGCGTGGGGGTGAGTGTGGGGGTGAGTGAGGAGGTGAGCGTGGGGGTGAGCGTGGGGGTGAGCGTGGGGGTGAGCGTGGGGGTGAGCGTGGGGGTGAGTGAGGAGGTGAGCGTGGGGGTGAGCGTGGGGGTGAGCGTGGGGGTGAGCGTGGGGGTGAGCGAGGAGGTGAGCGAGGAGGTGAGCGTGGGGGTGAGCGTGGGGGTGAGTGTTGGGGTGAGCGAGGAGGCGAGCGAGGAGGTGAGCGAGGGGGTGAGCGTGGGGGTGAGCGTGGGGGTGAGCGTGGGGGTGAGCGAGGAGGTGAGCGTGGGGGTGAGCGTGGGGGTGAGGGACCCACGTGGAACAGCGAGGGGTAGTGAGCGATGAGGTGCTCCAGGACGAGCCCCTCAGCTCCGCTCTTCCCCTCCGTGTGGAAGAGCGACGGAGTGAACACGATGGCCAGGTTGTGTGACGTCATGTGGTTCAGGGCGGCGTACGACTGCACGCTGCACACACGTGCGCAGACACGCACGCACACACGCACCCATAGACACACACACGCACCCATAGACACACACACGCACCCATAGACACACACACGCACCCATAGACACACACGCACCCATAGACACACACACGAACCCATAGACACACACACGCACCCATAGACACACACGCATGCGCAGACACACGCACACACAAATACACACACGCACACACAAATACACACACGCACACACAGACACACACGCACAGACACACACGCAGACACCCACGCACGGATACCCACGCACAAATTATTCAAAGGTCTGGACACATTCCCAACGGTGAGCTGCTCCGGCGGGCTGGCTGCATGAGTCACGTGGCGCGCATTCTCGGCCACCGCACGAGCGAGTGGGTGCGTCAATGGGTGACTGAGTGGGTGACTGAGTGGGTGACTGAGTGGGTGACTGAGTGGGTGCGTGTGAGTGAGTGTGTGTGAGACACAGTCCCGTTAGCATGCCCAGCCACAGCATGCCCGAGCAGCTTCTGTTTGGCCAGATAGAGGGCGCTTATATGGACGAGGTGCGGGCTGGAGGAGAGGTGGAGTGATGCGATACGGGAGGATGTGGAGCTGAGTGGACTTGTCAATGAGCGCTGTCAAGATTGAGGAGGTTTGTGCAGGACGCTGCTGCTGCTACTGGGCAGTTGGAGGCAGTCGCCCTCCAGCAACAACGGAGGGCGGAGGAGCGACGCTCACAACAACGAGCGGAGCGCCGGGCGGCTAAAATGCCGTCAAAGTTGACAGAGTAGGGCCAGCCATCTCATTCGGTCAAACCATGGCACCTGCCGAGTCTGTCCCGTGACCTCCTGCCAGCGAGCCTTCGACACTTCACGTGGCCTCAAGGCGCACCTAGCCTGGCACAGGCGACGTGGCGACGTCACCGCCACTTAGCGGTGCACGGCCCTTCACAGGCGCTACTTTGTCTCCGCATCGAGGGAGCGTGAACTCCTCCTCACCAGTGCAGGTGAGCGATGATCTCGGTGAGTGTTGCTCGGTTGACGGGGGGGAGAGCCCTGATGAGCTCGCGGTACCCGGCCAGCATCGCCTCCTCGCACGGCTCACCTAGCCACACGTGGGCAAAGATAAAGGTCCCCCGTGTAGCCCACACACGCCGAATGGCAGCAGTTGTTGTTGTTGTTGTTATTGCCGCTGTTGCACGGTTAAGCGTTCATCACTCACTCGCCCCACACGCTCGTTAATTTGCTCACACCCACCCACCAACCCAGTCACCCACCCGCCTGCCCACTCGCCCGCCTGCCCACGCACCCGCCCACTCGCCCACCCGCCCACTCGCCCACCCACGAAGCCGCTCACCTACCCATTCACTCGCTCGCTTACTCACTCACTCATTCATTCGCCCACTCGCTCGCTGACTCATTCACCCGCCTGCCCCAGTCCGCATCCCAGACTTGCGTGGGGGACTGACGGGGGGTGACTCACGTGGTGGGGGTGGTGGTAGTGGTGGTGGGGGGGGGGACTCACGTGGTGGGTGGTGGTGGTAGTGGTGGGTGGTAGTGGTGGTGGACTCACGTGGTGGTGGTGGTGGTAGTGGTGGTGGTGGTGGACTCACGTGGTAGTGGTGGTAGTGGTGGTGGTGGGGGTGGTGGTAGTGGTGGTGGACTCACGTGGTGGTGGTAGTGGTAGTGGTGGTGGACTCACGTGGTGGTGGTGGTGGACTCACGTGGTGTGGGTGGTGGTGGTGGTGGTGGACTCACGTGGTGGTGGTAGTGGTGGTGGTAGTGGTGGTGGACTCACGTGGTGGTGGTAGTGGTGGTAGTGGTGGTAGTGGTGGTGGTAGTGGTGGTGGTAGTGGTGGTGGTGGTGGTGGACTCACGTGGTGGTGGTAGTGGTGGTAGTGGTGGTAGTGGTGGTGGTAGTGGTGGTGGTAGTGGTGGTGGTGGTGGTGGACTCACGTGGTGGTGGTGGTGGAGGTGGTGGTGGTGGACTCACGTGGTGGTGGTAGTGGTAGTGGTGGTGGTGGACTCACGTGCGTTGTCCGCCCACCGCTGGCGCAGCTGCGTCGTGAAGAGGCTGGGCTCCACCTCGCGGAGGAATCGGCGCAGCGCCGTGGTGACGTCGTCCACGTGGAAGGCGCCGTCCGCCAAGCGCACCGAGCGAGCGTCGCCACGCAGTGCGCTCAGCAGCGCCGCGATGCGCGAGTTCACCCCCGTCTTGCGGTAGACGCCCTCGCACGCCAGCCCTGGGCGCCGCCCGCAGCACCGCCGCCGTCGTCGCTTCAGCATCGTCGTCATCGTCGTCATCGTCATCGTCGTCGCCGCTGCCGTCGCTTCAGCATCGTTGTCATCATCGTCATCGTCGTCATCGTCGTCGTCATCGTCGTCATCGTCGTCATCGTCGTCGTCATCGCCGCCGCCGTCACTTCAGCATCGTCGTCATCGTCGTCATTATCATCATCACCACCACCATCACTTCAGTATCATCATCATCGTCATTATCATCGTCATCATTGTTATCGTCATCATCGTTACCATCGTCATCATCAGCATCACCTCCGCCTTCACTTCAGCATCGTCATCATCGTCAGCATCAGCATCATCAGTACCACCATCACCACCGTCACTGCGGCAAAATTGTCATCAGCAACAGCAGCATCATCATCGTCGTCACCGTCACAGCAATGCCATCACTTCGGGATCGTCATTATCAGCATCATCAGCAACACCACCACTTCCGCATCATCAGAAGCAGCAGCAGCATCAGTACCATTGCCACATCACCATCGGCAGTACCATCACCGCTGATGATGCTGCTGCTACCGCTGATGCTTCTGATGCTGACGCCGCCGCCGCCGCCGTACCGTACTGCGTGACGTAGGCCAGGCACTTGCTGACGATGACGGGGACGTCGCCGTCCGTGAGCTGCACCAGCGACAGCTCCCCGCTGCGTCCCTCCGAGGCCTTGCGCAGCGCGGCGAGCCAGCCCGCCGAGCAGAGCCGCCCCGACGCACGCACGCACAGCATCCTGCGGCGCGGCAAACGGACGCAGAAATCCCGCGCCCCCTCCCGCACTGTAGGCCCGAACGCGCCCCGCCGGGCGCGAGCGCCGCCGGCGGGCCGCCCCGCGTGAGTCGACCGAGCGGAGAGGTTCCACGATCGTTCCCGGACGCGAGCGGGAATGGAACTGGGGTCGACGGGTTCCGCGGTGCGGTAACCAGCGGCCGCGGCTCCCCGTTACGTACAAGGCAAGACGAAGATTCCCCCCCTCTGTGGCCCGTGCTGTTAAACAACCGGTGTGCCGGCAGCACCGGGGGGGGGGGGGGGGGGGGTGGACGCAGCACCGCCACACCTCGGCCGCCTTTGCCTCCCCAGTGGCGATGTTTGCTGATCGCATCGGGTACTCAACGTAGTTCCGTTCCAGCCACCGCCCTAACACATGCAGACGCACGCAGAGACAGAGGTCCCCCACGTGGCCTCAACAGACCATCGGGGCAAGTGCTGTTAGCGAGAGGCACCTACGAGGGCCGGGCGCGGCACGTGATGGGAGTGGGTGGCCAGCACCACGCCTGGTACTACACACACACACAAAGACTACATCGCTACACCACCGCTCTCCACTATGTACACACGGCATTATGCACACACCACCGCGCACCACCACCACCACCCATTACCTGCGTCTCTCTCCCAGCACCAGCACCTCCCTCCTGTCCCCCTCTTCACTGGGAGTCATCACACCTGTGTGGGGGGAGGGGCGTGGGGGACGAGGGGAGGGGGCGGGGGGGGGGGTCAGTAGGGATGACGTCACGTACATTGTACACCTGTGCATTGCACACCCCTTGCAAGCTGTTTACTTAGCTGATTAACTCGTTGTTAATCCACGTTAAGCTCCAATAGCCTACATTAGGCCACGTTGGGGTACGTTAGATCACTTTAGGCTACATTAGATCAGGTTGGGCTCCGTTAGGCCACGTTAGGCTCCGTTAGACCACATTAGGCCACGTTAGGCCTTGCTAGCCTATGCGAGGCTAAGCTAGGCTCCATTAGAGGCTACGTTGGTTCGGGCTGACGTTAGCAGCAGGGGGACGAGTTACGCTCGGAGCTCAATCTCTCGGCCGGGCTTGTGAGTTGGGGTTATCGATGTAAGGCCTATCAGCGTGGCCGCCCCCTGCAGTATTCATGTTCTTATCACGAGATGGATGTAGCCAAAGGCATTCCCGGAACACGTGTTCCGGCTCACAGTATCCACTGGTCGCGGTTATTTTCTCACAGTTGTAGCATTGAGGTGCTTGATAAAGGGCTGTAGCCGTAGGGCTGGCTGTCGGCTCTAGGGCCGACTGTAGCCGTAGGGCCGGCTGCCAGCTGTGGCGCCGGCTGTAGGGATCGCTGCAGCAGTAGAGCGAGTCGCAAGCGGTCGGCGCTGCGACGCCAGCGGCCGGATCTTACTGAGCTCGCGGAGTTTGTTGAGGCTGACGCTGTCGAGACGGCGGGCGCCGCCGCTCTCCTCCTGCTGCTCGGCTCGCTCGCTCGTCGCTTCTCCCGCCGGAGCGACCTCCTCGCTAGCGCTGCGACTTCGCGGCGCCACCGTCGCCGCCGCCGCCGCCGCCGTCGACTCTTGCCGCTCCGTCTCCACGCCCGACGTCAGCGCCGCTCTCTCCTCCGCCTCCTCCCTCTCGGCGGCGCCGTTCGGCAGAGCGCCGTCCGGCCCGGCGGCGGCGGCGTCACCGGGGCCGTCGCCGGAATCGTCGGGGAGGAAGAAGAGGGAGCAGCGCACGAGAGCGAACCAGCCGCGGCGCCAGCGCTGGCTGCAGTAGCCGTCACGGAACTCCAGCCGGCCCAGCCGCTCCCACGGCAAAGCCAGCAGCGGGTCGGGCGGGGGCGGCTCGCAGCACTGGGCGCACGCGCGGCGAGAGACACGCACGGACCACGCATGCACACACACACACACAGACACACACACACACATGTACGCACACACACGCGCAAACACACGCACGCTCACGAAGATCACTCCCCCGCCATGTTAGTGTAAGGGTCTCTGTGCTAGTCTATGGATCTCTAAGCGAGTCTACTGGTCTCTGTGCTAGTCTATGGGTCTCTAAGTGAGTCTACTGGTCTCTGTGCTAGTCTATGGGTCTCTAAGCGAGTCTACTGGTCTCTGTGCTAGTCTATGGGTCTCTAAGCGAGTCTACTGGTCTCTGTGCTAGTCTATGGATCTCTAAGCGAGTCTACTGGTCTCTGTGCTAGTCTATGGATCTCTAAGCGAGTCTACTGGTCTCTGTGCTAGTCTATGGATCTCTAAGCGAGTCTACTGGTCTCTGTGCTAGTCTATGGATCTTTAAGCGAGTCTACTGGTCTCTGTGCTAGTCTATGGATCTCTAAGTGAGTCTACTGGTCTCTGTGCTAGTCTATGGATCTTTAAGTGAGTCTACTGGTCTCTGTGCTAGTCTATGGGTCTCTAAGTGAGTCTACTGGTCTCTGTGCTAGTCTATGGATCTTTAAGTGAGTCTACTGGTCTCTGTGCTAGTCTATGGATCTCTAAGCGAGTCTACTGGTCTCTGTGCTAGTCTATGGATCTCGAAGCGAGTCTACTGGTCTCTGTGCTAGTCTATGGATCTCGAAGCGAGTCTACTGGTCTCTGTGCTAGTCTATGGATCTCTAAGCGAGTCTATTGGTCTCTGTGCTAGTCTACTGGTCTCTGTACGAGTCCGTGGGTCTTGGTGTGGGCCTGTGGCCAGCACTATGCACGCCCGGTCGCTTTTGTCTCCTTAGTGCTGACGTTTACACACTGCTCTCGGTGCTAATTCAAGGCTGAGTCGACCTAGGTATATATCACTATTTGAGTGTGCATGTCTGGGCATGTTTGCATTTATGTGTGTAGATGTGTCTCTATATGCGTCTGTGTGACCGAGTGTGTGTCTGACCATGTGTCTGTCTATGTAAATGTATGTGTTTCTGTATGTGCACACGTGCATGTATGTCTGTCTGTGTGTGTCCCTTTGTGGGGAGCGATAGCGTAGCGGTTAGCGCGCTGTGCTATGAACCTGGCGACCCGGGTTCCATTCCCGCTCATGGCCAACACCACCAGTGACGATTATCTGAAACGGTCCTGGGCCTCCCCTAGGTCGACTCAGCCTCAAATGAGTACCTGGTGCGGTGTGTAAACATCGCCGATATGGAGACAAAGGCGGTTGGGCATTTTGCTGGCCACCCACCCCCTCGTGTACTGTTCCGAAACTTCATAGTTGCTCGCTAACAGCACTTGCCCCTACATTCTGTTAAGGCTATACGGGAGATCTTTGTCTTTGTCCCTGTATAGCGCTGTGTGGAAGCTGCCTGGTCTGTCGTTCCACACGAAGCCTCAGGTCTTCTCGGCCACGATCATTCCCTCCCTTCTCTACGCCTGCGAAACGTGGATCCCCTTAATGGAGCATCTTCGCCGGTTGGAAACATTTAGGGTGGCCTGCCTACGATCCATCCTGGGTTTAGCCAGGCTGGATTGTGTGAGGAGTTCACAAATCCTTGAAAGATCTGGGCAAAGTCCCATCGGTGAACTCCTCCGGCACGCAAGGCTTCATTGGCTGGGCCATGTAGCCTGCATGCCCAATCACGGCATGCCCAAACAGCTTTTGTTCGGCCAGATCGAGGGGGCTAAACGAGCACGGCAAGAGAAGAGATGGAGTGACGTGGTACAGGAGGACGTGGAGCTGAGTGGACTTGCCGATGACTGGTACCAGCGGTGTCAAGATCGACCTCGGAGGAGGCTCGTGAAGGACGCTGCTACTGGGCAGTTGGAGGTAGTGGCACTCACAACAATGAGCGGAGCGCCGGGTGGCTAAAGCATAGCAAGTTGGCACAGTAGGGGGCAAAGGTGGTGCACCAGCCAGTCATCTCGTTCATCTCAGTCAGTCGACCCGTGGCACCTGGGTCTGCCCCGTGACCTCCTGCCAGCGGGCGTTCGACACTTCACGTGGCCTCAAGGTGCACTTTGCCTGGTACAAGCGCCGTGGTGATGTCACCGCTACTTAGTGGCGAATGGCGGTTGTTGTTGTTGTGTTTATCCACTCGTCCGCGTGTCTAAGCATCTGTCGGTCACCTCGGCCCGCAAACCTATAACACCCCTTCTTGCCAGCAGCGGGAGCCTGCCGCATTCCACGTGACGGCCTCAAAGCGCACCTAGCCTGGCGCGCGTGCGGCCTCACCCGTGCCAGCTGCGTGACCCAGTCGTGGCACGCCTCCTCCGACTCAGCGCCGAACAGGTAGAGGCGCTCGCCGTCGCCCCGTTCGCCCTCAGCGGCCACGCACAGCTCGAAGGTGTTCTCAAACCTGCAACAGAAACGAAGGGGTCACCCCCTCCCCCCGCGCGCTCCCCCGCGTAGCCCGGACAGACTGCCGGGGCAAAGTGCCGTCCGGCATCGAGGTAGCGGCGGCGCCTACGGAAGCCGGCACCGCGGGGTGGGGGGCGGGAAGTCGCGGTGGCACCGCGGGAGGCCCTGCCACGGCCACCATTGCTTCCCCCGGCGGCGATGTTGACGCACCCGGTGCTGCGGCGTGTCACGCGTGCGGTGTCTGTGTTAGTGCGGTGGCGATAGTTATAGCTATCTATCATCTTCTTTGGTTCTTTCGGTAAAGTCACGTAGAATGAGATCTATCAATTTATATTTTTTGTTCCTGGGTAATAAGCTTAAAGGGCGTGACCTGGGCTTGGCTGTCTTCACTCCAACGCTGTCCTCTGGACAGTCCGGTCCCTTCACCTGATGAAGGCCACTTGTGTTGTGGCCGAAAAGTCGTGATTTTTTGTTGCTTTATTTTTTTACCTACGTGACTTTACCGAATAGAACCAAAGAGTATAAAGTCACGAAGGTATAAAATAAAATAAATCACGACGTTTCGGGCGCGTCCGTCATCAGGTGGATATTATTCCCCACAAACTTTGCTTTTATGGCCAGGACAGTGATATTTTTAAATTGACTTATTTTACAAAAAATTCCAGATAGATTCAGTGCTGGAGTAACTTCTAAAACATTCTAGAACTTTCCAGTAATATAAATAGTAGTATAAATACAGGGGCCTTAGGCCCACCAGTTCAGTTGAGTTCCAGCTGCCTAAGTGGATACACATCTGCATTTTTCTGAGATGGCATCAAGAGGCTGCAAGCATCCGCCAGACTCATTTTACTTTGTCTGCGGCCAATTTATCAAGAGAAGAGCGAAAAAGTCCTCTGTGGAAGGATCTGCTAAGATGTGTGAGGCCTACAAGGCATATTTCGGCATGCCTGTCAAGGGATCAAGACAAACCCTGGACACCTCATTTCACCTGCGAGCAATGCAAAAACAAAACTCTTGAAGGTTGCTCGGGATTTTATGTTTTAAAATTGCTCGGGATTTTATGTTATAAAATTTGTTCCAATTTTTTTAACTGTGAAAGTTTTTAATTTTAAAATGTTTTTACAATTTTCAATGTTATTGAAAAAATATATCGTATATGAAAACTGTTGCGAGAATCTCGTTAGACATGAGGGGAATAAATGTATTTTTGTAGGATGGTACAGAGGGGAAAAGAGAGCCATGAAGTTCGCTATCCCAAGAATTTGGCGGGAACCCACTGACTACTCAAGCAACTGCTACTTCTGCATGGTGGACCCTTCCAAACGTCTGACTGGCAAGAATGCACCTGCCATCACGTATCCGGACCTTCCTTCATCCATCGCCCCGGTGCCACACTGCCATGAGCTCCCCGTACCCGCTCCTCCGGAGAGAGAGCAGCCGTCTTTAGAAGAGAGCAGCAAGTCAGAGAGCGAGGAAGACGTAGATCCAGATGACAATTTCAGAGGTGGAGCTGAGGAGAGAAACCCATACTACCCCAACCAAAAAGACCTCAACGACTTGATCAGAGATCTTGGTCTCACCAAGTCCAATGCCGAGCTTTTGACGTCTAGGCTCAAGCAGTGGAACTTGTTGGATGAAAGTGTGCAAGTTGCAGATCAACCTTTTGCAGCTTCTTCACCCGTCAAGATGGGCTCTGCTTCTGCCACAATGTGACCAGTCTGTTCGAGGCAATCGGAATCGCCTGTAACCAGAATGTGTGGCGCCTCTTTATTGACAGCTCATCCAGGAGCCTCAAAGCCGTGCTGCTCCATAATGGTAACAACTATCCGTCTCTTCCCCTGGCTCACTCGGTGCACCTCAAAGAGCATTACAACAGCATAAAGACCTTGCTGGACGCCTTGAAGTATGATGAGTACGGCTGGGAGGTCATCGGAGACTTCAAAATGGTGGCATTCCTGATGGGTCTCCAAGGCGGTTTTACCAAGTTTCCCTGCTATCTTTGCCTTTCGGACAGCAGGGACACCAAGGCGCACTACCACAAGCGAGACTGGCCAAAGCGGACCGAGTTCTCTGTGGGGAGTAACAACGTCAAGTGGGAGCCACTGGTGGACCCCCGGAAGATGCTGATGCCACCACTGCACATCAAATTGGGCCTTATGAAACAATTTGTCAAAGCTGTTGATAAGGAGTCGGCAGCCTTCAAGTACCTTCAAGACTTCTTCTCTCAGCTGTCTGAGGAAAAGGTCAAAACCGGTGTCTCCATCGGACCACAGATGAAGAAGATCCTGGAGTGCAATGAATTCCCCAAGAAGCTCACTAGGAAGGAGAAAGCGGCTTGGGGCAGCTTTGTCGCAGTGGTTCGTGGCTTCCAGGGCAATCACAAGGTCGAAAACTATGTGGAGCTGGTTGAGACTCTGGTGAAGAACTCCGGCACAATGGGCTGTAGGATGTCCCTCAAAGTCCATATCCTTGATGCTCATCTTGATCAATTCAAGGAGAACATGGGAGCGGACTCGGAGGAGCAAGGCGAGCGCTTCCACCAGGAGATACTGGACTTTGAATGCCGCTACCAAGGACAGTATAATGAGAACATGATGGGAGACTACACTGCGGGGCTGATTTGTGAAAGTGATTTACAGTATAATCGTAAATCTCGAAAAACTACTCACTTCTAAATCTCTTGTGATCATTTTTGTATTACTTTAGTATAAATACATGTTAATTTTGATTCATATGTTGTTTTTTTCTGACTTTATGTGAACGAAATGACAAAAATTCGCCCATTTTCTCATTGAAAATAGCTTAATTTCTAAATATCACTGCCCTGGTCACAAAAGCAAAGTTTATGGGGAACAATAGTAATTTTCTATACAATTTGGGCATAAGCAATTACGAAATAACACTTACTACCCAGGAACAAAAATTGTGTTACACAGTGTTACCCGCGTTCTAGCCCGGTGCGGCGTCGGCGTTAGCGCGGCGTCGGCGTTAGTACAACGTCGGCGTTAGTGCAATGTCGGCGTTAGCGCGGCGTCGGCGTTAGCGCGGCGTCGGCGTTAGCGCGGCGTCGGCGTTAGTACCCGTGCTGCAGAGGGTTGGCCTCCCCGCGGGTGCTCAGGCTGCACACCAGGCCGCAGGGCACGCGCCCGTTGGGCGTGGAGCTGCGCTCCCCGTCGAAGTAGCGCAGCTCCCCGGAGCTCAGCTCGCAACGCCGCCGGCTGAACTCTGAGACGCGGGGGACAGGGAGGGACAGAGGACGAGTGATGGGCACCGACAGAGACACGCAGGGAGACCGAAGGATGGAGGGACACGGAGACCCACGGACTCGCTCGTACCGTCTCGTGAGCGCCTCTCCACGATGGGCTTGGTGCACGACGGCGTCTTGTACAGGTACCCCTTGAGCAGGGGTCTCGGCGAGCCCCCGGGGGACAGCGCGGGGTCCCGCGGCGACCCCGGGGGCGACGTCGGGGACGTCGGCGGCGCCGAGACCGGCGCGGGCGGAGCGCTGGAGCGCCGCGCGAGCTCCGCCGGCGCCGCCCTCTCCTCCTCCTCCTCCTGCTTCTCCTCCTCCTCCTTCTCCTCGTCCGCGCGCTGGCTTCTCTCGCCTCCGTCGGTGAGCGACCGCACCGGCCGCGGGCTCGGCCGCGCCGCGCCGGCGCCCAGGAAGAACGGGTGGCTGCTGAGCGGCAGCTGGTGCTGCTCCCGGACGCCGGCGCCGTCCACGATCGCCGCGGAGAATCGCGGGCCGAGGCGTGCCGACGCCCGGTCCCTCCGCTCCACGGCGCCGCCGTCACCGTGAGGGCGGCGCGACGACGACTCCGGCGGCGGCATCGGCGCGTCCCCTCGCGTCGACCGTGCAGCCGGTGCCGTCGGCGTCCCCGCCGCCGCCGCCGCCGCCATGCGCGCGACCCGCGGCCGGGGAGCCGAGCTGGGATTCGCAGAGGCTCCGCCGGGGCGGCACGGGCGGCAGCGGCTCAACGTTCCATGCCTGCGAGCGCCCGGCCCGACATCTGCATGCTGCCCCGGTCCAGCACCCGCCGCCGGCGCCTCCTTTCCCCGCGTCACGTCGTCCGCCGTCGTCGCCGCCGTCGCCGCCGTCGTCGTCGCCGTCGTCGCGGTCGACGCCGGACTCGCGCAGCAGCAGCCGGCGCCCCCCGGACGGCGCCGGCGGCGACTCCGACTTGGGGGTCCCCGTCCCGGAGGGGGTCCCCGTCCCGGAGGGGGTGCCCCCGTCGAGGCGGAGGAGCCGGGCGAGGATCCGCTTGCGGTGGCCGGGCAGCTCCACGCCGAGCCGCGCCAGCGCGGCGTCGTCGCAGCCCACGAGGTCGCCGGCGCTGGCGCAGCCGCGGGCGCCCAGCGCGTCGGCGTAGCGGCCGAGGTGCAGGCGCTGGAGCCACGCGGAGAGCGGCTCCCGCAGCCTCGCCCCGCCCCAGTCCTCCCGCCGCCCTCCGGGCGTCTCCGTCTCCGCCTCCTCCTCCTCCTCCGTTCTCCGGCTCGGAGGGACCTCGGCTCCTCCAGAAGGCGGCTCCTCCATTCTCGCTCCGCAAGGCCGCTCCTCCATCGTCCCTCCGGGCGTCTCCACCTCCACCACCACCTCCTCCTCCTCTGGTCGCCTGCTCGGAGGGTCCCCAGCGTGGACGCCTTCGGAAATTGGCTCCTCCGTCCTCCCACTGCAAGCCTCCTCCATGAGTCTCCCTCTGCCGTCCCAGCGCTTGCTCTGCTCGTCGGAGAATCTTCTCGAATGCCCCTACTCCGTCATCCCCTTTGGGCAGAGGGGGTGGGGGGGGGGGGAGAGATCGAAGAGGGGGAAGGGGGCGGGGGGTTTGGTGGAATGTTAAAGCGCGACCACAGCTGTCAACCCACACGGTTTAGCCCGTGTTCTTGTACGGCCAAATTGAGCTTTCAGTTCCATATAGCGTACAGCCGTTTCAATACCTGGCACAAACAAATGTCTTTGTGTTTCTCCCTTGTGATGGGACTTTGTAGAGGATGAACCTTGAGATTTATGAGGGGGCACGGGTTAACCATTAAGGTCTGAATTGGTCTCCGACGGGAAGGGCACCGCGAAGGGTTGGCGGGTGCGGTACAGACGGCGTAGCGGGGCAGGCCTTAGCCACGGCGTGGTCACGCGTGCCAGTTGTTTCTAAACTTAAATCTGAACGCGGTGAGTTTACCTCCCGGGAAATGCCCGCGCGCGTGCAGGCGAAACCGGTTCCATCTCCTGGAGTCTTTTTTTTTAACCCAAATATCACAGAACAGGTTGTGCCGCATCCGAAGCCTCCCGGCTACAGAGGAAGCCTGCACTGTGCCTGCACAGTGCAGGAGCACGGGCGGTGGTGGTGCTGCTGTCGGACACCTCGTTCTCGACAACCCACGGCACCTGCTCGGTCTGTCCCGTGACCTCCTCCTGCACCTAGCCTGGCACGGCAGTCAACCCACGGCACCTGCTGGGTCTGTCCCGTGACCTCCTCCTGCACCTAGCCTGGCACGGCAGTCAACCCACGGCACCTGCTGGGTCTGTCCCGTGACCTCCTGCACCTAGCCTGGCACAGCAGTCAACCCCACGGGCACCTGCTGGGTCTGTCCCCGTGACCTCATGCACCTAGCCTGGCACAGCAGTCAACCCCACGGGCACCTGCTAGGTCTGTCCCCGTGACCTCCTCCTGCACCTAGCCTGGCACAGCAGTCAGACCCACGGGCACCTGCTGGGTCTGTCCCCGTGACCTCCTCATGCACCTAGCCTGGCACGGCAGTCAACCCCACGGCACCTGCTGGGTCTGTCCCGTGACCTCCTCCTGCATGTAGCCTCTCGAACTTCACGTGATGGTGCACCTAGCCTGGCACAAGCGCCGTGACGACGTCGCTGCCACTTGACGAGCGGCGGCTGTTGTCTTTGTTGTGTGTGCGTGTGTGTGTGTGCGTGTGTGTGTGTGCGTGTGTGCGTGTGTGTGTGTGCGTGTGCGTGCGTGCGTGTGTGCGTGTGCGTGTGTGCGTGTGTGCGTGTGTGTGCGTGTGTGTGGCGTGCGTGCGTGCGTGTGTGCGTGCGTGCGTGTGTGTGCGTGTGTGCGCGTGCGTGTGTGTGTGCGTGTGCGTGCGTGTGCGTGTGTGTGTGCGCGTGTGTGCGTGCGTGCGTGCGTGTGCGTGTGTGTGTGTGTGCGTGTGTGCGTGCGTGCGTGCGTGTGTGTGCGTGTGTGCGTGTGTGCGCGTGTGTGCGTGCGTGTGCGTGCGTGTGCGTGCGTGTGCGTGTGTGTGCGCGTGTGTGCGTGCGTGTGTGTGCGTGTGTGCGTGTGTGCGCTTGTGTGCGTGCGTGTGTGTGTGCGTGCGTGTGCGTGCGTGTGCGTGCGTGCGTGTGCGTGTGTGTGCGTGTGTGTGTGCGTGCGTGCGTGCGCGCGTGTGCGTGTGCGTGTGTGCGTGTGTGTGTGTGCGTGCGTGTGTGTGCGTGCGTGTGTGCGTGTGTGAGAGAGAGTTTTGTGTATGTGGGCACTGTTGGGGCCAGTGCTGTTAGCGAGCAGCACCTATGAAGGCCGGCACGGCACACGAGGGGGTGGGTGGCCAGCACCACGCCCGGCCGCCTTTGTCTCCCCAGTGGCGATGTTTACTGCACACCGCGTCAGGCGCTCATTTGAGGCCGAGTCGACCTAGGCGAGACCCCGGACCAGTTCGGACAATCGTGTCACTGGGTGTTGGTGGCCCTGAACAGGAATCGAACTCGGGTCACCAGGGGTTCAAAATGCGACATTTTATGTATCCTGGAGGAATCTATAAAGCGCTTTTCCCACAGATGTCCAGTAGTCGCACCACCACCACCACCACTCCCATCGCCACGGCCATCACTGCCGATCAAAGTTCAACCGCAGTTGTTTAACAGTGACGACTGTAACATTGGAGTGCGGGGTGGGTGGGGTGGGGGATAGTGGCGGGGGGGGGGGGCTAGGGGGGGCTAGGGGGGGCTGTCACCAACACCACCAACACCACCACCACCACACAGTCAACCACAGAATGTATCCAGCAGTGGATGCAGTGCCGGATGAAGTTAGTGCGAGGGCCTGCTGCACGCGATGTTATAAAGGGGCCCTAAATTAAATAAAAAAACCCCTTCAAATATTAAAACACAAATGTTTAACTTGCACATTAAAGTAATTGGATTTTTTTATTTGCTATACAGCCGGATAATAGACAAATCGCTAACCTTAAACAGCCGGTCGTTCGTATAAGTTGAAGGCGGTATAGTACTATAGTAATAGAGCAAGTGCAGAATCACTGAACCGGAATCAATAGCTTGAAAGCATTTAGCGTGGGGGCCTTGAAAGTGCGGGGCCCGTAGCTACCACACATATAGTAGTAGCTACTGCTACACGTGTAGTAGTAACTACTACATGCATAGTAGCTACCACATGCATAGTAACTACTACATGCATAGTAGCTACTACACATGTAGTAGTAGCTACTACTACACATGTAGTAGCTACCACATGCATAGTAGCTACCACATGCATAGTAGCTACCACACATGTAGTAGTAGCTACTACTACATGTGTAGTAGTAGCTACTACACGTGTAGTGTAGTACACGTGTAGTGTAGTAGCTACTGCTACACTATATATGTGTAGTAGCTACTACAGATGTAGTACACTATATGTGTAGTAGCTACTACACTACATCTGTAGTAGCTACTACACATGTAGTGTAATAGCTACTCCACATGTAGTAGCTACTACACTATATGTGCATGTAGTAGCTGCTACACACTACATGTGTAGCAGCTACTACTACACACACGTGTGTAGTAGTAGCTCCTTATGTAGTAGTAGCTCCTTGTGCAGCTATGACGATACTCCGACACGGAGTGGATGATGGCGATGACGGAGACGCTGCGAGCCAGCCCGAGCATCGCTCTGGAGTGGCTATAACCACGGCAAAATAATCCATCTCCTCCCTGGCCACCCCCCTCCCCTGCACAACCAACCCAAGTCCTCGCAATAATAAAAACCCTGAACGACACTTTAGCAGCAGCAGCAGGTAGCGAACTTTGCACAGATTTCCGTTTAGCGTGACATCAATGGCCCGGCGTGGTGAAGTATGGTCAAACGATCCCGCCCACCGCCCCCCCCACCCCTCCAACACCGCCCATCACCACCACCGTGTGAAGGAGGCAATCATCCAGCAGTGGATAGGCCACGGGGACGATGACGATCACGCTGAGAGACACAGAGAGAGAGACACGTGGATGAGAGAAGACACGCAGGGTAGAGACATCGTGACACTGATATTACTCCAGCAGTGGATAGACCACGATGGTGACACTGAGAGAGAGAGACACGTGGATGAGAGAAGACACGCAGGGTAGAGACATCGTGACACTGATATTACTCCAGCAGTGGATAGACCACGATGGTGACACTGAGACACAGAGAGAGAGAGAGACACGTGGATGAGAGACCACACGCAGGGTAGAGACATCGTGACACTGATATTACTCCAGCAGTGGATAGACCATGATGATGACACTGAGACACAGAGAGAGACACGTGGATGAGAGAAGACACGCAGGGTAGAGACATCGTGACACTGATGTTACTCCAGCAGTGGATGGACCACGATGATGACACTGAGACACAGAGAGAGAGAGACACGTGGATGAGAGAAGACACGCAGGGTAGAGACATCGTGACACTGATATTACTCCAGCAGTGGATAGACCACGATGATGACACTGAGACAGAGAGAGAGAGACACGTGGATGAGAGAAGACACGCAGGGTAGAGACATCGTGACACTGATATTACTCCAGCAGTGGATAGACCACGATGATGACACTGAGACAGAGAGAGAGAGAGACACGTGGATGAGAGAAGACACGCAGGGTAGAGACGTCGTGACA